CATGTATATTACAATTATAGCATATAACTAAGAATTCAGTATACCGGGATTAACGGAAGAGCTTTAAGATTTCATAATAGCCGTATTTTAAATCTGTAAATAAGAAATCAGTGTTTAATCATATTCCTATTGTTGTCTGTCTAATCTTTAAAATACAAACATACCTACTATACGTTATCCAAATTGTTATCTATTAACAGATATATACATGTAATCCTGTTGTCCTATTATATTGGGTATACATAACTCTACTATTTCGTCAATTATATATCTATAGTTTTATGTATTCTCTTATCTAATTTGATCGGTAAAACGTGGTTAATAGCAATAGTTTAGGTCTAAGATAAATATAAAATTAATAGGATTTAAGATGAAGGAAACAACATGGATTTCCCCTATATATTTTGGGAGGAAAAAATCATATTAATTGCACAGTGAATAGTGCGAAAGATGGCCAAGGAGATCCAAGACAAATTTTATTTAGAGCCCCCTACATTTCTTTTTCCTTTCTTGGAGCATAACAGTTCAACGTGCAGACAATCGTTTCACTCAACAGTTACGTTAGAATAAAATCATCTCTAGTTTTACATCGGAGTGAAATGGAATTCTGGGTGATTATAATAAATTACAATTTATGACTTCCATTTTGTTTCAAAGAAAAATACAAATAATGTATACTATTTTTTAAACAAACCGTAGGGCAGGGTTTTTAATTAGGGGCTGCAGGAGGCGATTTATCACTGTTTCAACGATCAGAATTCACCACTTCAGATATCATAACTAGAAAAGTAAACTGTCTTCAAATGGATAAATTTGCCTCATTACTTTAAAATTATTGAAGCCTTGCCTAGGGTGCATTAATCCTTACTTACATGGAGTACAAATAATTTATAATATACTTCATTATCTTCGTAATGAAAAAATGTTACTCTTTGAAATTAACTTGAAATTTAGGTTGTACAAACAGAATAAAGAAATGTGCATGTGTTACTATCCTAACGATAGGTATTATATATCTGAGACAGTATACCTATCCTCAAATAGCCTCTAAATTTTGCGTTTGTGCGTAGTTTTTTCATTTTCTTTTTTTGTTATACTCAAAACTGTACAAGAGCTGTTCACCGCCTTCCATGACATCTGTATAAACTATATGCTCACTTTTTGAAAGTTTAAAAATGAGATCTTTCTAATTAAGTATACAGAGAAATTCGCAGAGCAGATAATTGTAGTCCAGTTTTTTAAAAGGGAAATGTAATGGGACACCAAAGATCTATTGTTACGCTGTGTTGCAAAATACTTGGGAGAAATCTGGTACCTGCCACATTGCTAATACAGTTCGTGACAAGTATTTGTGAACAATACTGGATACCATCATTCTGAATGACCTTGTAAAAGATTTTTATTAAATAAACTCTGTTTTAGTACATAGAATACATCATATTTACTTCAGAAGTTAATTTATCGTCTCTCTAATGTATTGATATGATACATGTATTTTCAAAAGTTGATCAACAGAATTTGTTGAGAAAACTTTCCGCGACAAAATCCTCTTCCAAACTTTAATGAATTGGAGTTTTTTTTTATTTTATTCATTATTTTCCACAGAGAAGTAAATTTAGAAGCTTTGACTAATATGACCGCGAGGTCTGACGAGTGATGGTGACTCAAAGCCTTGCTACATACATGTATTACATAACGGCGATAGTTAATCGTAATCAGTAATCGAAATCAGCTGTAATCGATTACAGTTTGCGAGTAATCAAAAGTAATCAGTAATCATCCGTTTTTCTGATTACAAGTAATCGTAATTTAATCAATTACCCTGAAAAATGTCCTATAATCATGATTATTTTTTGTTTACTTTTATGATTACAATGGTAAAAATGAAGTGCGTGCATAATTAAATTCATGTACTTTGTTGAGATTAAAGTTATGTCCATTAAACTAAGCAGTGAGTACTCTCAAAATGTTTTGAAATTAATCTAGTGAAGTTTAGATATTATTGTCAGACATTTTTGACTGCGATACAAGGTATATGTACTTCTTCTATTTCGGTGCTGTTATATTGCTGTATCCCTTTGTACAATGAAAAAGGTGAAGATAACGAACAGTGATCTATTATTTAAAAATCAACAAACAATACAACTCAATTTTGTTATGATCAGATGTGTATCACTATAAATCACAACTTTATTTTATTTATATATTGACATATATACACCCAAATTTCCATTAAAATTGTCATAATCAAAATTGATTTTTAAAAATCATTGAAAAAGAATGTACATGTATGAATAATTATCGAATAAGATGTCCTATAAAAATTCCCCATTTCTTTACTTAACTGAATAGTTAATAAATACGAACATTAAACGAATGACTAGAAAAATCTTTTTAAAAATCAATGTAATCTGGAGTAATTAGAAAAATCTTTTTAAAAATTAATGTAATCTGGAGTAATCAGAAAAATCTTTTTAAAAATTAATGTAATCTGGAGTAATCAGAAAAATCTTTTAAAAAATTAATGTAATCTAGAGTAATCAGAAAAATCTTTTTAAAAATCAATGTAATCTGGAGTAATCAGAAAAATCTTTTTAAAAATCAATGTAAGCTGGAGTAATCAGAAGCAATCATGATTACATGAAGGAAAAGTAATCTGATGTAATCGATTGCTTAAAAAAATGGATGCAATCAACTTGTAATTGAATACTTTTAAAATCTAAAGTAATTGTAATTTAATCGATTATATACTTTTAAAAGTAATTTACCCCAACCCTAGGCCTGCTACATAAACATTCCAAAGATGGTCAAAGAAGAATAAATTTTTAAAAATTCTTTAAAATGTAACTGACATTTACAACATACAAACTTCATAGTCATATATAAAGAAAAATATTCTTTTTGTGAACAAATGTTTATCCACATGTTTTAAACTCACTGCCTAAAATGGACCCGCATTCATTCAGTATTCGTCACTTGAAAAATATCGGTTCAAAATGCTGAACTTTTAGGGACCTGATCATACAAAAAGATAAATTAGAAAAGTAAATGTTCATCGATGCTCAGATAAGCTTACGAGAGATAACTCTATAGGATAAATGTATTTCTTTATAAATGAAATCGCCAGGTTTTAAAATTTCATTTCTGTCAAGCTTTGCCCCACAAGGTTTGCCAAAATTGCACATTTTAGTTATTAATTAGTTTTTTTTTAAATATAAGAATAAAAGAAAAAAATTATATGAGTACATGTATAATGATCTTAAATAATACTCTCAGGAAATGGATGACTCATGAAACGCTAAACCATAGTTTATGACTGAGAATCAGATTACCCCTGTAGAATTAGAGAGAGAGAGAGAGAGAGAGAGAGAGAGAGAGAGAGAAGCAAAGCTAAATACTACGTATATTTACAGTACATCAAAATTAAATACCCGGGATTTTTTCTATCTCTCTTTTTTTTTTTTTAATTTTGCTTGGTTTTCAACCAAGTAGTGTGGATTCAATATATAATATACACGCAATCGGGAGACCTACACTCTTTCTAGATGTCATCATAGAATTTTTTTGTTCCTGATACAGTAATCAATGGAACAATTAAACATGGTAAGTGACCCCATCTTTTTATACACATAATAATATCAGCATACAGAAAAAAAATCTCAAAGGCCTCTCCTGATTTCTTTTTAATGGAAACGGACGACTTAATATCATACAAACTTAACTAAGAGGTGTATGAATCTATTTTGAATTACGACCTTTTTACTTTGAATAACGACCTCTTTAGAAGAAATATTGTTGCCAGTCACGATATGTTTGTCAGCGCGGCATACCAAGAGATTACTATCGGTTGTTCTTTGTTTGCAACAAATATCATCAGCATATAGAGGTATCACTGTCTTAAGAGTTGCATCCCACCCACAGAATCACTCAGTTTGAAACAAATATCCAAAGTCTGATTTTGTTTCCTCATCCAAGGCATCTGCATCCATCTGAACGCCATGATATGCAAAGGACTACTAGTAAGTACTTTAATTGGTTACTTAAAATTAAGGTTCATGTTTTTCTTTCCACATTATTTCACACATGTTTTAAAAATCGAAAATTTCTATTTTTTTTACTTTGTGATTCATATAAAATTAAGTTTCGAAAATATTCCCCCCCCCCCCTCCAAAGAAGATGGGCGAACAAGCCGAGAAATATGCCTATGGTTCGAGAAATGCATGTAAGAACGTGAAAAATTTAATCTAAATTATAACACAATTTCATTTGGTATTTTAGTTAAAATTAATGTGCACTTTATGTAAAATCTCCAAAATTTGTAGCAATCTAACACGTGTTAAAATTATTAATTCGTCCATGAAATAGCATGCACATTCCAATGAGGCAAAAATGATCGTTTCTTCATAACATTTTTCTATATACAAGAAGTTGGGTCATTTGTTTTAAAAGTATGTCTTCTACGTATCATAGTTTAAAATATAACTTTTTGGCTTAACAAAAACATGGACCAAGGAACCATTCTACCTTACAAATACACTTTTGTGACACAAAATTTGTACATTGTATCTTTCCTATATTTGAAGTCCTATTACTCAAGGGTCAAACAAGTTTTGAATGCCCCTACCTGTCATGAGCTGTGTGGTATAGTGGCCAGCGTGTCAGTGTCTAAAAAAGGAAACTGATAGTCAGAGTTTTTATCACTTGTGTTCGAATTCCCCAAATCCTTAACTTTTTACTACCACTGATAATTTGTTGCCAAGAAAATTTTTCCGCAGAAAAGTTGTTTCTCATAATTTCATACCTTTCAATAATTAGAACTTTGCTCTAAATTCTAGTTTACAAACTACATTTGATTTTTATAATTTGAAGAATTTTACACCGCTTTGTTCGTCATCTTCTTACGACAAATATTTTGCCCTTATATTATTCCGGGTATCTCTCGGAAAGTTTTGAATATTTTACTCATATTTAGAGTTTCCGGTCATAAGATTTTCGTTATTAACATAATATAAACACAGACCTTGAAAGCAGGTATGAGTTTTTATCAAAAAAGGATAATGATAGCTTTATAGAAAAATGTCTCTCTGTTTAAATGCGTTTTATGTACGTGTGGAATTGTTTGATTTTGAAATATAACGTTACTGATATCGATATTGAGTAAAATTTAGATGATGCTGATCAAAAACATATTGCGCATCTGTTTTGCAGGAACTTGGAATTAAGTAGGTCATTAACCAATTTACCAAATGGATCGAGACAGAGCAAAGTCGACCATGGCTACAACAGCTGCTATGGGATGCTTGAAGACTCTTTTGATGATTTTCAACTTTATATTTTGGGTAACTAGTAATTAAACTACGCTTAATGCAAAAACCGGTGACCACATTTAAGTACCGTTTTATAGATCGAAGCTTTTTGAGACCATATCCTTTCTATTGGCAAACAAAAAATTGTACATCTTCAAAGTAGAATATTTGTGACTCTAAATTATCACACTGACTGAATAGGCAACTACATTGTATTGTAATTTAACACTATACATGAAATAAACTGCAGCATCATAGAAAGAGCAAATATTTTACATGCATATTAATACTTTCATATTAGGTGACTGGGATTGCTATCATGGCTTTGGGAATATGGACCAAAGTTGACCTGTACAAGTACATGGAACTTTCTTCAATCTACTACAAAGATTCTCCATGGATTTTGATTGCTGTGGGTGCTTTGATAGTGATTGTTGGATCATTTGGATGTTGCTGTACAGCCAAAGGAAATGCTGTGTTATTATATATGGTAAAAAAACCAAGTTTATTGTTTTTAAGTGTTACACCAAACAAAGACATTTTAGAATACTGAAATTGATTACTTACTGCCTATGATGCCTTTGGTGTGTAAGGGCAGTAATGAGGGCTCGCCATCTTTGCCTGTCACTGGTTTTGAAAAAACTTATTATGTAAAGTGTAAAATTCCTCTTGTGATACTGGTTGGATTTACGTATTTATCTGTACTTATTTATATTAGCATTAAAATTAAGCCTGGGTTGAATATGCCCATGTAGAACTATATTTATCAAATTGAAAACCGCTGTATTAATTTCAGTATGGACTTTTCCTTGTGCTTGTGTTTGCTGTAGAACTTGGAGCAGGTGCAGCAGGGTTTTTCTACAAAGGAAAGGTAGGGAGGGTGTTTATGATGTCATTAATTTTCATACATGTGATACGTCAAAGACCACAAAACTGTACAGAAGCCATAAAAAAATTGGAATGTGGGTGAAAAAACTGTACTGTACTGTACTTATCAAAAAACGGTATAAAATATCGCTTAAATTCTTCTGATAAGGCACCTTATTTCTAAACCAACAAATATATATTGTTGCAAATGTTTTATTTTAAAAGTTGTAATGGATATTTGAATGCTTTAAAATTTCATATATTGTGTTTTATAATCACAATGTTCTTATGAATCGGCTATAAATCAAGCCAGTTTAGATGATAGTTTGTTTGCCAGCTTTATATAGTATTAACGTGAGAGTCAATGTCTCCAATTTACATCTTGTTCATATTACTGATATATACATCAGCAATGCTAAATAACAGCAGCAAATACAATCATACATAAATTTCAGCTCATAAAAATTTAAAACTATATCCTTTATTTCATCATAATCATGGTAATAAACATCGTATATTTTATACCTATACAGAGATCTGGGTCAGATTCATGTATATTAAGTCATGTATATCAACTTTAGAAGTTGGCTTAATTTTTTTCAATCAAGTTACGAAACATTAACAGTTATAATTAATTACCCCTTTAAAAATAAAGCTACCTAAAGGGGTATCTTGATATGGATTTTATAGCAAGATAATTATCCCAATTGGCAGTTCACACCTTCACACGCGGTGGTTTGTGTACATTACTCAATTATCAGAAGGTCAAGTGTCAAACACAGGTGACGTTTTCCAGTGTCTCGCAAGCGAGAATGAGAGGAAAATGGTGGCATTTAGCAAGAAATTCAAAATACTGTACAAATTTTCATTTTCTGTAAATTTTGGTGTCCCACCGGTACACTATGAATGGGCTTGAAAAAACGGTACATTTTGCATACCGCTGGTACATATCACTTGCATGAATTTTGAAAGCTTGTCTCATCAGCATATCCAAGAAGAATCTGAAAAATGAGATTGTTGTAAAGATTTAATTAAAAAATGCTGACAAACAAGTGATACATTTGATTTTAAAAGTTTAAGATGAGAATATTTTAGATCTATGATTTGTATCTTTGTTGTCATGTAATTGAGATTATGTAAACTTCTGTGTTTGAAAAGTTTCTATGAGATTGAAACAAAAATGATGAACATTTTAATTCTAGATAGTTTGAAAAAAGATTTACTTCTCAAAATGATAAAATATCTTTGATTCATAGTTATTTACTGTCAATGGTTATTTTACTTTAACTTAATTAGGAGGAATATAATTTCAGTTTGGAGGTTTTAAGTAAAATCTTTCCAAATTCATAGGGATTTTTTCTTTTCTTTTTTTAACATCTTCATTCCAAAATCAGTAATGTAATATGTGCATTTAATATTTTCCTTAAATTTACAATTTTCAAGCCCATCCACCATAAAATGATAAACCATAAAGTTCTGAAAATTACAAGTTCTTTGAAAAGTACACAAGGCAGAAGTACACAAGGATTACAGTTACTCTCAACATTTGTAGTTTATGCATTTTTGTAAATTATTTTATCATTCATTTACATTTTAATTTCTTTTTTCCTAAGCTGGAGCAAGGATTTAAAGAGGGACTAGAAAATGCATTGAAACAGTATGGAAATGGAAGCAAAGCCATGGATGAGCTGCAGTCCCAGGTATTAATGTTTTTTTTTCTTCTGATCAGTACTCTTGTAATGAGTATTTAAGAAGATATAAGCTTCAGAAAAAAGTTGCGAAGGGAAAAAAATCTGTTGGATTTTCCTACCAATTTAATGATAGCGCCAAATTAAAAAAAAAAAAAAATTGAGTGTTTCTGGTAACATGCCAAAAACATTAGGGTAATTAGGAAGGCAATAACTTTTTGTTTTACTTTACTTTTTATTTTGAAAGCATCAGTTAATCATTCAATACACTTTTTTAATGTATTAGTGAACAAAATTATGGTTCAAAATCTGGGTCTGGAATAAAAGGTGGTAAGGTCAGTGGCTGAAAGAAGGGTCAGTCAGGCTACTTGAAACACACCTCTTTTTTTAAGACTAAAATGAAATTTGTATTACAAGTTTTCATAATAAATTTGGAGGAATATTTTTTACTGCGTTTCCCAAAAAAGTCGATTTTCTGGAGCCAAGGCAACAATCACCCGGGCTGCTATTGTTTTATCTGGTCTTTATGAGCTCTGTGTGCACGGACATGATGCAAACTTTTGTTCACACGTGCATGACCGAAAAAACAAACAAGGTGACAAAGAAAACAACTCATGTCCAATGCTAACTTTTAAACTTCTTTTCTCCTCTTTAGAAAAAAAAATTGTTGAAAATGTTTTTAGTTCCGGAATTTAGCAATCATTAATCAATTTAAAAAGGTCCCCAATTTGATGACTTACAGAGAAATTTCAGGCGCCATTCGAAAATTTTAGGCACCATGGCGACTAAATTAGATACCAATTAGAGCCCTGCAAGGTTCCTAAACATGCTAAACATAGAAATTTCTTTTAATTGTTTCAAAACGCTACTCCTCCCAGAGTTTTGCTCCGTTTTTGATCAGACTTAGTACCAAGATACTCAGTTCTAAGTATCAGTTTTTGAATTTGAAGAAGCATTGTTGCCATGGTTACTAAAACTAGAATTTTTGGAAATTCTTTCAAAATGCTACTCCTGTTACAAGTTTGGTCTAATTGGAATAAGATTTGGTACACAAGTAGACTATACTAAAATACAGAAATTGGTTTTTGATTGCCACAAACGGTATTGCCATGGTTACTAAAAATAGAGATTTCTTTGAAAATCTTTCAAAATGCTACTCCTCCTACAGTTTTGGTCCAATTTCAATAAGACTTGGTACACAAGTAGATTATACTAAGATACATTATTCTGTTTATTGGTTTTTGATAAACAGTGTTGCCATGGTTACTAAAAATAGAAATTTCTTTGATTTTTTTTTGAAAATGCTACACCTCCTACAGTTTTTGTCTGATTAGACATTTTATACAAGAAGACTATACTAAGATACACCTTTCTTTATTATAAGTACACATCAGTAGAGTTACAGTCTTGTTGGATACTTCTTGTCAAAGTTTTGGTTTGTTTGGGTTTTTTGTATAATACTTAAAGATACTCTAATTTATTATATTTTGGTGATAGTCGAATCGTAAACTATAACAAGTACCAGTAATGTAAATCACAAAGCAAATGTTAGGAGGCTCACTGCAATCTTGTGGGTTTTTTTTTAATGTTGTCTATAAATTTAACAATTTAACGTGTCTTGAGTCAATATCATCTGTCTAGGTCATGGGAAAGAAATAATACATTATCAAGAAAAAAACTTACTGATTTTATTATTCATTGAAGATAAAATTTCATGCTTTTTTCGAATGTTAGTAGGTTTTATTTATTTTTATCTGCTAAAATCAGTATTTCTTCCATTAATGTTTAAAATTTTAGCATTATCAATTTTATATTTTAACTGACAGTTGCACTGTTGTGGCAGTGATAGCTATCAGGATTGGTTCAGCACGCCTTGGGAGAAAACAGTGAATTCAAGTAGAGCTGTGCCTCACTCTTGCTGTAAAGACGCTGTGTGTAACAACTTGAATGTCAATGTAAATGCTACAGATATCTACACAGTGGTGAGAAATCATTTAAAATTCTTAAATTTAGTATAATAATTAGTATACTATTCAAAAGGGATATATACCATATTTTGTGGTACTTGTGTTTTGCCTTGGAATTTGCACATTTGAAATGCATGACATTTTACTTTGTTTGAAAGTTTGAAGAAGTATTTAAGCAGTGTCATAATTGTGCATGTTCAAGATATATGGTTGCCTTGCACATACCTGGATATGCCTGATTAAAAAAAACTACTGGTAAATGGCAATTTATCCAATCTTGATAATACTTTTGTGGAAAGTCTATGAACATACACTCATGAACTTTAGATTAAAAGACATACATGTAAATGAACCTGAGTACCAAATAAAAGTTCAATTATTGTGCTAAAATGTAATGAGCAGTTGAAATGGGATATTTGCATGTACTTCTCAGTACTACTTCCCTATACAAAATTTATCTCTGATGCAATGTACAGTATAAAATAAATTTATTTTAAAAAATGTTTTAATTAAATGATCCAAATGTGACCAGGAAACATAAATCTCTGACATTTGACAGAGAAAGGAAAGACAGCAGGGGTAGAGATCAGATGAATGCATGAATATTCAGAACAACAATACTTTTGTTGCATGAGTTTATTAAAAGCATGTTGTACTCTTATTTGATGCCTTCTTATTTCAGGGTTGCTACAACACGGTAGTAGACTTTATGAAATCAAACATGGCTGTTATAGCTGGAGTGGCATTTGGTGTTTCTTTCTTCCAGGTATGTATGAAGAATTATTAACTTTCTAGGATGTTGCCCCCAAAAGTTTTGCTTTTGAGTACTTGAGGCTTTTATTGTGCCCACTGGTATTGGTGTTTTGTCATATATGTGTATCTCGCATTTATGACTCAAACACCAAGATTATAACTTGCCTCCACCCAAAAGTAATGTGCACTTATATATGGATGAGCAGTGGGATTGTCTGATTTACATTGTGAGGAATTTATAGTAATAATTATTTAAAAAGAAAATGTGACCTCATGGTTAGCTCTACTGTGGAGGAAAGAGCTTATGCTTTAACTCTACTGTGGAGGACAAGAAGAGCTTATTGAATTCATTTCTTAAATTAATGTGACTTCCTCTTTCAGCTACTTGGGGCATTACTAGCATGCTGTTTGGCAAAGCGGGTCAGGAAATCCAAATATGAACAGATGGCTTAGTTGATATTCAAAGTTTGTGGTCAACAAGGATCTGAGTGATGATCAATTTATTCTCTTATTTCATAAAGTGAACATTCTAGTGCTTTAGTTTGATTTCAAGTAAATAATAGAATAATTGAAAGAAAGTGTGATATTTGTTAATGACTGTAACAGTCAATATTATTTGATGATGATAAAATAAAACCGGTTATTTTTTGTATTAAATGCATTCCATATTGTTTCAGAACTTTATTAATGTTGAATTTCTATTAGACTGTAATCTTAACATGAGTACCTGTTCATTAATATTGTTTTACTGCATTTTACAACTGCATTCCTCCTCCTTATTTCGGTTCACATCTACCAAGATTCCTGTGTTAATGAATCATCTTGGGGGGGGGGGGGGGGTTGTCTATGGAGCTGATAAATCAGTTGATATAAACATCACTTGGAACAGGATCGTAATTTGTATGAAGAAAATATAATTATTTACATAGATTATGAAGTGCTCAAATCAAACTATCATCCATAAAGACTCCAAGAACTAGATAGCTACATCCTTATATTTACAAGTTTATCAAGTGAGATATGAGTAATATCACATTTATTTTACATATTTATGTATACAAATCCCTCCTACTTTATTTATTTGTTATTACACATATTCATGCAAGCAAATAATTCCATCACAGATCTTTTATTATATGGCAACACGTGACAGATACTTTACTTATAGGGTATTATTGAAGAAATACTAATGTAAATATTTGATCTTTAATTTTTTCCTCAAACTTTACTGTGATTTTAAAGCTGAAAATTTTATGTTTTAAGATATTTTTTTTATCAGATTTATTTTACGCTGAACAATTTTAAGGTTTTTTCCTTTATGACTGTCTGTACAAATTTCCTATCAAGGGCATACAGAAGATATTCTGAATGATACTATGTCATATTTATAATTTTTATTGAAAAAATCTATGTTTATGAAATTCATGGGAAAATTTAGAATAGGGTTGCATTTGAAGGTCATCTGGTCAACCCAACATGAAAGATATAGAAGCTACATTGTTTGTTACTGAATATTATGCTAATTCAAGAAGGATGATTTTTGTTTTTGCTTATTTTGTTATTTGGTTTGTTGTTGGCTTTGTCAACTTAAGCATATATATATATATATATATATATATATATATATATATATATGTATATATATATATATATATAATATAATATTATATATATATATATATATATATATATATATATATATATATATATATATATATATATATATATATAAAGATCTTGATGGTTACATCTGCAATAAAAGGGCATAATGAATTCAAATTTCCTGTTTGAGTTCATTGTATAATTTTATTAGTTGTATATGTATATTGTATTGTACATGTAGAGCATGTAATCTCCATTTTATTATACTTATTATGGCCTAGGGTTTACTATTCTATGTATATCTCAGTATTCATCTACAGTTGCTTTCTAGTCCTAGTATGCCCCACCGTTTTGAAATAGAAAGTTAAAGTTTTGCTCAAGTTTGATATGAGAAAAGTGCATTTATCTTGTCATAAAGTAATTTGTTTTTGTTTTTATTTCTTTGTAGAAAAACAGAATTTGATGACTAAATATAACTATAGTGATAGAGTATAATAATTGAATTAGTATAGTGCTGTAGAAAGTACTTAGAACTGGTTATTATCTCTTTTAAAATGTTATACATGTTACACTCTCGCTTTGTTATTTGTACATTGGTGTTACAGTTTTACGCAATGTCTTCATGTTATTCTGCAAATAAATATATCTCTTTCAGCATAATGTTTTCTTTGTGACTGATTATCATGATGGGGGGGGGGGTATTTCAACTTTCTCTTTGAAGAAGATTTTTTTTTGTATGGTATTAAGATAGGAGGATTTGACCATACTGCAACAAAAAGTGTGTGGGAAAGGGGGGGGGGGGTGCTTGTCTATGAAAATGCAAGCCAGTAGTTTGGAGAAGGAAAGGAGGACCTTGCCACCCATATTTTTACGAAAATATTCTTTTGCTCTAGCTTTTTTTTAAAACATGAAAAATTTCAGTTAAAGGCCCCCCCTCCCTCCTTCAGACACACACTTTTTATTGCAGTAAGGTCAGTTTGCAATGAAAAACAACACCGAAAAGTTCGAGAAAGATCTCCCATATCAGCCTGTGTAAAAGACACAACATTATATGAATTGAAACTAAAATTTTTAGTATTTCATTTAAATTGTGAAAAATAAAAAGGCTTTAAAAATAACAATTTGAATTGCATAACTTCATGCTAAATTTTGTAGACTTCCTTGGAGATAAGTCCAGTAACAAAGCTAAAATTACACTAGGATATTAATGTGATGTTGATGGATCATAATTTGATACGAAAGAAATTCAAGTCAAATCTTATTATCTACATTGTACGTATAAACAATTATAAAACAGGTCAATCACATTTGTAAATACAATGTAGAGTCTATGATTTGATCAAAAGTAAAAACAAACATTTTCAATGACAAGAAATTATTTTCTTTTAATTTTATTACACTGTAACATGATTTTTAAATCTGATAATGAGCAAAATAAAAACTGTTTTCTTTATTTGAGTCTGTACTAGTCAGGCAAAAAAACTTATTACCAACTTACACTAATTACAAAGTGTACGTAAAATGTCACGTAATTTGAATATCGCACATAAATAACAAAAAGAATAAAATAATTAAAAAAAAAAACAGGACGTGATTATTTCAATTCAATTTACTGAATTGCGTGGATTTTTTATGGGTTTTCTTGTTTTTTGTGTTCTTGTACAAAGAATAAAATCAAGCTATGATGTATCAACGATAAACACGCAGCCAAAAAAAACAAAAAAAAACAACAACAACAACATCATGATACTATGGAATTCCATATACGACAGCCAACTGCTTACTGCCAACTGCTCACTGCTTACTGCCAACTGCTCACTGCTTACTGCCAACTGCTACACATATTTGAATAAATTTTCATATTTATATTGATACTATGTGAATTTTCATAAAACCAGGCGCGGATCCAGGATTTTTTTTACAGGAGGGGTCCACCCCAATAAAAAAAAAATCCAACACAGAAATTTCTTGACAAAAAAAAAACAAAAAAAAAAACAAAACAAAACAAAACAAACAAACAAACAAAAACGTAAACTCCTTTCCTAAACGTAAAAAACCTATTTCGGCGGGGGAAGGGGAGGGGTTGACATCTTATGCTTCATATCTATGACTTTTCATATCAACTTAACACGGATCCACGTTTTCTAGGAGGGGGAGGGGTCCAAGGTCACCGTGGCTTTTAGTTGGTTAAGTATATACATTAAATAACTCTACAAATTCCAGGGGGTGTTCCGGACACCCCCCCTCCCACCGACCCCCCCCCCCTCTAGATCTATGTATGTAAAACATAACTTATTTGGGAAAACAAAGAGATATAGATCTTTAATTTGAGAAAATATTTCACTATAGAAATTAACGGAAAATGGATATTCATTTACAAAACATCTTCCCCGCGAAACAACAGATCCTTTTTTCAGTTTTTATTCATTCCAAAGGTTTTGTTGTCTCACGGGGGGGGGGGGGGGGCACGTGTTTTTGAAGATTAAAAACAGGAAAATAGTCATTTTATTACCAATTTCAAATGAAATAACAAATAAAAAATGTACTTCATCACTTTATCAATTTCATATGTTAAATCTTACGAAAGTTAAAACATACGGTGAGATTTAAGAGTCATTTATCCATTTTCATGAAGGCGGGAATCAAGAGTTGGTGTGCGTAGTTCTTACAATAATAACAAAATTTGGCGGATTTAGGAATTTTTAAACTGTAAAGGCGAGGAAGGAGTAAATCGGAAGAAGGGGTGTTTCCTCTTAAAAACAAAACATTTAATTTCTGCATTTCGTTGCAGGCAAATAATTTGATAGCTTTTTTTTTTGACGCGGGTAAGGGGGGGGGGGGGGTCACATACGACAAAAGAACAAACTTTTAAAAGGGTCTTGAGTAACATTTGTTGGTATATGTATTTATAATAGAAATATTACTGAAAGTTATAATAACAAATAACTTTTGCCTAGTTTAAAACATCGAGTAATAACTTTTGGATTTTCTTTTTACCCTAGGAAAAGTACCTATGTGTGGGAATTTTTATATGTATGTGTGCAAGGCATTTAGCGCTATATAGGATATTAATTTGACTGTTTTATCAATCCAGATTCGATGAGTTAAAAAAATGCTTCTCGAATAGTTGTTGACTTCAGATCTGTTAAAAGTTATTCAATATTTGCGTTACCAATGCATCTAAAGTGCACATTATTGTTATTTTACCCATTCTTTCTTTTAAAAAAATCAACAAACACTTTAACTTTAACTTTAACTCATAATTCCCTTTCTAAGTAGGAAATTAGTCAAAATCATATGTCAGTTTTATATTTTTTTTATATTCCTAACAATCAAAGTGAATTTGAATTACCATACTTATACTCGATTTCTAAATTACATAAAAATCCTTACAAAGATACAAAGCGGGTTCCGGTAAATGTTCTACCAACCCTCCTGCCTTTCTCCTCACTAAAATATTAACAGCAGTGAAGGAGAGTCTTCAGAAGTACTGTACAACAGCATATTCGAGAAGTGGTGTAAATCAGATGTGGATACTTATAAATTCCAAAAAACTTTTTAGAAAATTAATTTAAAATCATAAAATTTACCAAAATCAATAGCATCAAAACATACTACTTTTCAACACTTTATATAATCATTCCCCTTTGATAAATTAAAATCCAGACTCTTTTTTTGACAGCATAGGCAGCTGCTTTTTCAATAAAAATGGAACTCGTAAATTTACTTACCCTGTCACTGGTCATTTGCAAAAATATTTTGCTAAAACATTCTGATTGTACACATAAGTACTCCGAAGTTGATATTGAAAAGATGTTTGAGTTTCTGATTAGTTTTTGGAGATTCGGTCTTCCAACAATCTGTCGGAATTGCCATGGGTACTAATTGTGTTCCGTTATAAACAGAACTATTTTTGTATTCATATGAATCAAAATTTATTCAAAAGCCTCTACATGAAAAGAAGTCTCTTGTTGTGGCCTTCAATCAAACATTTGGATATATCGACGATGTTTTATAAGTTGACGATAATCATTTTCATTCCCACAATGATTCGATACACGTATATCCCTTTAAAATCGATATAAAAGATATCTGTTTCACATTTTGATTTTTGAATAGAAAAAGACGTTAATGGTAACATAACAACAAAACTTTATGATAAACGTGTTGACTTTAACTTTTTTAATCGCCAACTTCCCATATTTATGTAGCGATATTTCATATGGAGTTTATGTCTCCCAGTTGATTCGATGCTCAAGAGCATGCTCTACGCACGAACATTTTCTAAAACGAGGTAAGTTATTGACAAACAAGTTGATGAAATAAGAATATCAACAGTCTCGTTTAAAGTCATCATTTCGTAAGTTCTATGGTCAATACAATGACCTTGTCAGCTAATACAATTTATCATTGAGTCAAATGCTGACTGACGTTTTTCATACTATTTGTTAGGCCATTATTTACACACTAAATTGTCGACGGATTTTTCCGTTATTTCCCGATCATGACAACGAGCACGCGGCGGGTGTGACCGGTCGGTAGGGGATGCTCACTCCTCCATGGCACCTGATCCCACCTCTGATATTTTGGATGTCTATTCTGCTCCCGATTTGCGTTGCTTTAATGGACTTTGAGCTTGAATACTGTTCGTTATCTCCATATTTCATTATGAGAAACAGATTTGTACGTGTATGTAGCCTAAAGTCATTGATCAGAACGGAAATCGTCAAACCTAAAATCAATCCCGGCTCTATAGTCGGCGCTCCATTTATAACGAAGTGTTCCTTTGCAAGTTGTCGTCTTTGTCCACGTAAATTTTCAATTTTTTTTTTCTTTTCTTTTCCAGAGCCAATTTCAACCAAACTTGCCAACCTTGAGTGAAGGATACCAAAGCCATGGTTATTCAATATATTTATATGGAAAAATTCTCAGGCAGTTTTGTGTGTTTGTTCGTTTGTAGACGCCACCACTTGCCTGTGGAGGGCTTCAAATTTGGACCTATACTCGGCACTTAGGGCCATTAAGCAGTGAGTGATCTTTTTTTTGCCAACACCTACTGCGACATGGGACCTCGGTTTATACGGTCTCATCCGAAGGATGGTCTCCACGTCCCGCAGTGGGATTAGAACCCGCGACATAAGGATCAACTCCTTACTTCTTGAGCAAATCTCTAACCACTGTGCCACGTATATTAAAGTTTGCTCAGATCTTGACCCCCAGGGGTAGGGTGGGGCCACAATGGGCGATCAAATATTTTTACAGATTTAGGAAAAATCTTCTCTTAAGAATAATAAAACCATGGTTAGTCTTTTTAATTACCGTCTCCCTAGGAAGACAATATATAAAGTCGAAGTATTTTACAGGCCTCGGACTGCACACTTCCTCTTTTCTGTAATTGGTAGAATTAAAATGCGTGATGTGAAAATTTTCAATTTTTTCATTGGTTGAAATTAATGCTGTTCAAGGGTAGGGAGATAATTTTCTGGTGGTCTAACTTTCACATTAAATGAAACTGACACTTTTAACTTTTACTAGCAACTATTAAGTTTTCTATTTTTTTTTTCTTGCAAGCAGTGAGATTTCTGTTTTTTCCCTTTGTTTATATGGTAGGGAAAGCTGAACAGAGCCAAGAATTAATACAACCTGATGGATGTATGTCAGTTTACTGTTTAACGTTGTTGCTTAAGACGGCTTTTATGGAAGCATCATCAGGTAGTGTAGATCCAAGTTCATTCAAATCATAGTCCCTGGAAGTAGGGTTTTGTCAATATATGATCAATGTTACATAGAAATATATGTCCAAGAAAAGAACAGCAGGATTATAGTGACTCATGTGAGCGTTGTGACCCACGGGTCTCTAATATTTGATGTTCTCTTATGTAGATCCAGAAAGTTTTCTCTATTAGAAACTCTTCACAAAAAATAGAATAGAATAGAATAAATAAATAAATCATGACCACCCCGGGGCAAAATGAAGTTATCTCTGGTACCGTAGTGAATTTATTGTCATGGTCATGGATTCATCAGAGTTTAGTTTTAAACAATTTACAATTCAGTACAGGTCGGAAATCCAGAATCAATTTCATTGTTATCCAACGTGTCATTGTTATTTTGAGCTTTTCTTGTCCATAAACAACTAAATGAATCTGAATGTTTTCAGGTTAAACAGAGTTGACGCGTTGAAAGGATTTTAAATTTTTATGGGTCGCTAATCGCGTTCCAGCCGATTGACCACAAGAACAGAAGTCAACAAAAGAAATACAACATTGAACACACAACATGGATAATGCATACAAAGAGGTAAATATAAACTTCCATGTAATTTCTTCAGTTTGGTTACTAAGCCTGGATGTCTAATGTCACCAGGTCACTGTGTCGCAACTTTACAACCATCACGTTGATACTCGTGACTCGTGAGTATTTTAACATATACGAAGGGTTATCAAAAAGTTCGTGGACTGATGCGATAAAATTAATACTATGTAGTCTGTGTTTACAAAATTTATAAGGAACATTACACAACAAAAGTTTAAGAAGTGTTGAAAATTTTAGCTTGATACGTTGATAATTTGTGAAATTATTATAAAATAAAGAAGACATTATATGATCACTCGGCGCTGTCGTCTTCTAGTTTTAGGACGTCCGACAACGTCATTATTTCTCAATGCACACTCCCTCTGTCTCAATACACTTATCTTGATGAGATTCCCTGGAGTTAAGTAAAACTGAAACCTGTTTTGTTTATATGACATGACAATGTCATGAACAGCTGATTTCAATGCATATAAAATTGTAAATGAATCTATAAATAGGGAAAGATTCTCACTTGATTATGCCAGCATGTTTTGCTTGATGGAGTTCAGTATCTACCACACATGATCAACGTTACTCTTTGACGTGATTGACTTTTCACACTTTGACTACAAATCGACATTAACTGTGCATCTCTCATCTTACTGAATCTCTTTTGGTATTTAAAAACAAGTACTCTGGATGGATTTTATTTCTCTATAGACAGTTTAAACATTCCCTAGACTCATACCAGTTCTTTAAGGGGCAAAACTTTACAGAATATTGGAAAAAGAAACCCCTCCCCCTTTTTGACGTCATTTTAAGCCCTTAATTATTTGGGCACTCCTTATAAAATATACCATAAAATTTCATTGAACTTACAGAATGGGATTAAAATTGCACATTTTGTGGAACAATTGTGTCCCGTCACATGTCCGAATTAATGGGATTTTTGGATGTCAAGTACTCATATCAAAAGAGTTTTTCTCAGTTACACTGAGGTTGAAAAAACGTCCTGTTCGAGGTTGCACCGCCTGGACATACCATTGCTTACAAAACCAATACTAATTTATTAAAAATTAAAACTAATGACTTGTGGTTTATTCTATAGATAGAAAATATGATGCTAAGTATTTTAAAATTCATTGATGTACTTAAAGCGGTTTTTATTTTATGGCGCTAGTCCACGAACATTTTGATAACCCCTCGCATTTTTATCAACTCAGTGTTCTCAACTGTGTTGCATCAACTACATGTACATGTGTGTCGTGTTTAATTACTTTTAAGTTTCTTCTATGGATGATTTTTTTTTGCCATAATGTATCATTTTTTTCATGTGTAACATATCCTTTAACGTTAACAACATTCCCTTTTGTTTAGGACGTTCGAAACATTTAATCATTGAACGCCTCTTGTTCCTCTTTTATATATATATGTACATGTAGAGTAAAGTACTTGTTGCAGATTTATATATAAGGTTGCTCCATTAGATCTGAACACTGTCTTTGGTTTGGCTCCACCCTTTACATTGTCAGGGCGTTACCTTTTTACTAAATCTCACTGCAAAAGAAGTTGAGACCGTATTCATGGTATCTGAACTCCTTGCTAAGTTTACTCCTTATTCAACTCTTCATTAGTTATTTTATACAATTTTCACTTCTGAAAAAGGATCACTGCAGAAGTTAGTCTCTTCATATTTTAGCGAACACGAATGGATGATTTCAAAGGCATGTTCATATACATTGTATATAGACTTACAATGCATAGTTGAATTTCATTTTAGCTTTGTTTATTTTATTACAGGACGAGCATACATACGACTATATCGACTCCAGTGCCTTCTCTAACTATGCTTACGATGGCCTTACTAATATTCAAAAGAGCAGAGAGGTACTCGGACCAACCGCTCCAAATAGGTAGGTCTCTGTCGGAATTTGAACACCATTATATCTTAAGCTTCAACGACCATCTCATGATAAAGGCGGTTGTTTGAAGTGATACAAAAAAGCTAAGTAAAAGATTAAACGAGAATTCAATATCCTGATCATATGCGAGAAATAAGGTAGAAATCTCAGTTAATCAGTTATCAAGAATGTCAGAGGAATGCATTTATCTAATCCTCACTCAAACTAAAACAGGGTTCTAAATAGACAAAAGAATCACAGAGGCATAATTATGCATCAGTCAGATACCTTTTATATATCCTTCTTTTACTCACGTAGATCATCTGTTTCAAAGAGTCGTCAGAAGCGATGTTTGTTTTTGTCTATCATCACTGGTGTTATCGTTATAATTATCATCGCTGTTGTCGTCGTGGTTGTTGTCAAAAGTAAGTCTTTAAAATATTGCATGATTGATAATGGATCTATGAATGCTTTCATTACTGCATAAACACTATTAAATGTATAAGGTATAAATTAAATTCTTTTTCTTCGAAATAAAAGCAAGATATGTTTAAGTAGATTGTTAAATAACGGCTTTACAAAAGTATTAATATTTTATTAATTATAGATACATGTATTATCAGGTATCTTTTTTCCAATTTCTGATGATAAGCTAATATCATCTTATGAGTGTCTGATGTAAATCATGGAAGTGTAATGAGTGTGTTCCCGTTTTGCACACATTTGATATATATATATATATATATATATATATATATATATATATATATATATATATATATATATATATATATATATATATATATGCTAAATTCTATGATATTTTGTTACACTTATTTTAACGGATGCGCAGTATGACTCTGGTGAGTGATAATCAGGTAAAGTACAAGTTTTTTAATTAAGAAATTCAAGAAATAAATCAAAATATCAAAAGTCATTTTCTTCCTATTCTTTTGGTAGATTCTCTTTCTCCAACGTCACAACTATAATATAGGCTATAGTAATTAAGTAATTATCTTACCTGGACAAATTCCCGTTCTGCACACATTTTTTTCAATACCTGAAATTCAAATGTGTGCAAAACGGGAACAAACCGTTTAATGATACACCTAGGTATCATATTTAAAAAAATATATATCAAATGAGAATCTAATGAAAACATGATTGTATAAAAATAAGATTTTTTTTATAAAAAATGTTGACATTGTGTAAAATAAAACATGAAATATTAATTGATCATTGATCATTTTGTTTACAGAAAATAATGAAAGTAAACTTCAGAAATCAATGGGTACGTGATAACTCATATATTGTTTACACTGTTAAAATATCAATACAAGCACAAAAGTGCATTAAAAATGTTACTTATGCAGAATTTTTGTGTGAAATAAACGATTTTAAAATAGAAAATGAAGAAAGATGTTTCATAATATTTATAGAATTTGAGGCCACCATGACCCTAGTAGCACCATGGCAACCAGAGTATTCCGACCCCGAAAGTGAGGAATATCAAAGATTTACATCTGACCTCTTGACCCAGGTACGGGATTATTTTACATTTATAAAGCATAAAAGAAGGAAAGCAATACTAACATACTTTGTGTAAAGTATATATTTGTAGATGTAAGTTACTGTTAGCGTGAATCATTCAGTAGTATGAGAAGGTCACAGATGAAACAGAAATCAATGACTTTTGAGGAATCACTCTGATATGCCCTATAAAAAATCCACTGTCAATCTCGCAAGTGTATGGGAGATTTACCACAGGTTTCTGAAGATAAAACATCACCTAGTAATCTGTTTTAACTATTACCATAATTACTATAAATACGTATGTACACTTGTATAGCGCAAATTAAATCGATTCTTAGGGATTTTCATATTTGATCGTCTTTCACATCCTGTATCGTTTGAAAGGTTGCTGCATGGACCTGTTATCTAGAAAACATTTTATATCACCATTTTGGAATAGTTTTTTTTCTGACTTTTGACCCTGAGATTCATTTATTTTTCAATAAAATCCCATTCAATCAATATTAAACCATAAATCGGGAATGGGGATCGAGGAGGCTTAAATTTCGATATTTAGATGTACATGTAACTATGCGTATTGTTGTTAAAAGTGCCAAGATTAAAGGCCTTTAAAATTTGTTCATTAACCTTTTACTTTTATCTTATGTAGAAAATAAAAGAAATTCTAATTTTTTTACCACATCGCGTAAAATCTGGTACTTGTACGTATGGTGAAAAATACTATAAGCACTGATCGCACTGATCTTTGTAAAGAAAAAAGTCCATATCTGAATGTGTTAGCTGCATAGAAAGTCATCTGGCATTTTATGTGTACTCCTTTTAATGAGAAGTTTAAGTACCCGAAGAACTGACTTTGTAACAATTACATCAATATTTGAAAATACTTGTATTTGATTTACTTATTTTGCTCTATGTACGAACAATTAATTTCTTAAACGAGGCAAGCTATAATTGACAAACAGTTTGAAAAAATGGATATCAACAGTCTCGTTTAAAGTCAACAGTTCGCAAATTTTATGCTCGATACAGTGACCTTGTCACCAAATACAATCTATCATTAAGTCGAATGTTGACTGACGTTTTTCATACATATTGTTAGGCCATTATTTTTACACTGAATTGTCTACGGATTTTTCCGTTTACCCGATCATGACAAGGAGAACAAGGCAGGTTGACCAATCCACTGAGGATGCTTACTCCTCCATGGCACCTGATCCCACCTCTGATATTTTTAGACGTCCGTATTTGCTTTGCTCCAAATTTGTATTGTTTCAATGGATTTTTGGGCTTGATTCCAGTTCGTATCTTCATGTTTCATTTGAAATTTATAATAGGCTAAGAATAATGTTCTGTTTTAATCAAGCACTTAAGTTTTGTTTAAGCAAATTTTCCTAATGTGATCACTCTTTTACAAAGAAAATCCTTAACGTTACTACATGTACCGTTCCACGAATATTCTAATTTACTGATCTTTATTCTGTCCGTTAGATAGAGGACGGTTTAAGACAAAGTGAAATTGGCGTGAACCTGGATTTCATCATCATATTAAATCTAAGGTAAATACTTTCAGATTTAAGAAATAACTTTCTGCCTTCTTGAAAAACTACTTGTTTTAAACACATGTCACAAATTTATTTTTCCAGACCAGGAAGCGTGATTTGTGATATCAAAATCTTCATGAAAACTGTCAAGTTTTCAGTAAATGGAGAGTCACGTAACATTACTCCCTTTGTTATTGCGAGTACAATAACAGACATTGTGAAGGAAGCCAAACAAAACAATCCAGCCTCACTTCTGGCAAAAGTAGATCCATCAGAAATAAGAGTCAGACAACCACAAACAGGTGCTTGTTTCGTCTTCACTATTGATATCAACAACAAAAACAAAATTTTATTTCATTTTTTTTCTACTTAGAATAGCTTTCTTAAAGTTATTTTTGAAATCCAACTCCAGTGTAGTTAATTAATATGGTATACTTTCATTATGCATGTCATTTTGGAAAAATACTTCTAGACAAAAAAAAAAAGGAAAGGAAACAATAAATGTAAGTATGACTTGACTACATCAAACAAGAATAGCAGTTATTTTACAGGGGCACTGTCTGCTACACAATCAACAAGTAATCCACCACAAACTTCAACGGCCGCCATAAGATCCTCAACAACAACAACAACAACATGGTCCACAACAACATCAATATTCCGCAGGACTTCGTCAATTGTATCATCTACTCCATCCACTAGTCCCATCACAACAACAACTCTAGTCACAGAGGATTGTAAGTTTACTGAACAAGCGTGCTTCCAAAAACTGAAAATAAATTTTCAAAATAAATTGTTTGATACATTATATGCTTTAAGCATTTAGTGTTTGATAAAAAAAAAACAATATGAAATATGTGGAGATAACAAACAGTATTCGAGCTCAAAAGTCCATTAAACATTACAAAATAAGAGCAGAGCAAACACGGACCTCTATGATATCAGAGGTGGGATCAGGTACCATGGAGGAGTGAACATCCTCTTCCGACCGGTCACACCCGCCGTGTGCTCCTTGTCATGATCGGGAAATCCGTCGACAATTCAGTGTGTAAAAAATGTCTTAACAATTAGTACATGTATGAAAAAAGTCTTAATGATAGATTGTATTTGCTGACAAGGTCATTGTATCGATCATAGCACTTACGAAATGATGACTTTAAACGAGTCTTCTGATATTCTTGTTTCATCAACTTGTTTGTCACTAACTTACCTCGTTTTAGAATTGTTCATACGTAGATCATGCTTTGGCGTATCGAATCAACTGAGAGATATAAACCCCGAATGCAGGTGATAAGGGTAGTTGACGATTGAAAAGTTAAAATCATCACGTTTATCATAAAGCTTTGTTGTTAGATAACCATCTAATGTCTATTAATAATAAAATATCCAAATATGAAACAGATGTGTCAGACTCTGTCTTATCTCAAGCTCACCGAGATATATCGTGTCGACTTAAAAATGGAATGAAATATATGGAGATAACGAACAGTATTCAAGCTCAAAAATCCATTAAACAATACAAAATAGGAGTATAGCAAACACGGACTTCCAAAACATTAGAGGTGGGATCAGGTGCCATGGAGGAGTGGGCATCCGCCGTGTGCTCCTTATCATGATCGGGAAATAACGGAAAAATCCGTCGACAATTCAGTGTGTAAATAACGGCCTAACAATTAGTATGAAAAACGACAGTCAGCATTTTATTCAATTATAAATTGTATTTGCTGACAAGGTCATCGTATCGACCATAGAACTTACGAAATGATGACTTTAAACGAGTCTTCTGATATTCTTGTTTCATCAACTTGTTTGTCTTTAATTTACCTCGTTTTAGAAATTGTACGTAAGTAGAGCATGCTCTTGCGAATCGAATCAACTGAGAGATATAAACCCCGTATGCAGGTGATGAAGGTATATTGCTGCATAAGTAAGGGAAGTTGACGATTAAAAAGTTAGTCATCACGTTTGTCATAAAGCTTGGTTGTTACATTACCATTAACGTCTTTTTCAAGTAAAATATCCAAATATGAAAGAGATGTGTCAGACACTGTGGTATCTTTCATCTCAAGCTCACCGGGATATATCGTATCGACATAAGAATAAAAATAACCATTGTTAATTGACAACAGCCGTCGATATATCTAAATGTCGAGTTGAGGCCACAGCAAGTGTTTTCTTCTTTTCACGTAAAAGATTTTGAACAAGTTCTGCTTCATATTATATGAATACAAAAATAGGTATGCTAATAACGGGGCGCAATAATTCATTATACGTCATACCAATCATATAATTCATATATGTCCATTTCTAGTTCTGTTGGTCAAAGACCAAAGTAGCTCATATAATGGTAAGATGTTAGTCGTTTGTCTCTTTGTCTGTACAAAGGTTTATGAAATGCTATTTCTTTCTATTATTTTGGTCTGATTTCAATAAAATTTGGAACTCAGATTACTTAGATTACACTAAGATACAAAAGTCTTGGTATAGCTTTTGACAAACATTTATAAACAACGTTTTATCAATTAATAAAAGATACTTTCATTTTCCCCTCACAACGAAGTTGGAGGGGATATAGTAACGCGCTTGTGTGTGGGTGAGTGAGTGAGTGCGTAACTACTGAGAAATAAATTTATGGAGCAAGGATTTCAATAAACCTATTTAAAGTCAGCTTTTTGCAAATTCTACGGTCGTTTTAATGACCTTGTCTGTATATATAACCTATCATTGGGTCGTGTTTTGCTTGATACAGATGCTTCATACCATTTGTTCCTCCTGGGTACCTGATACCACTTCTGTTTTTTTTTCAGAGATCTGTGTTTTTTTTTCTTTGTTCATGATTCGTTTCGTCTACTGTATTGAGATCGATCGCTGTTCTTGAGGTTTTGATACTCTGATAAGAGAGATAACTCCAACTGGTATAAATGACTATCATTCCTTTTTGAAATTGTCAAGTTTATTGGCCATTTCTGTCAAATTTTGCCCCGCAAGGTATGCTGAAATATTGTGCGTTTTAATTATAAATTATTATTATAAATTATAAATAAGCTTCAAGGAAAGATTTCATATGAGTGAGCAGAGGTATGATAAACCTTAATCACCTTTTACATGGCTAAAAATTGAAAGGGCAAAGTATATTAACGACCGAATTTGGCCCCTTATTTGATTTGAAAAAAGACCCTGAAATGATGCTTTTTTTAATAACCACCCTTGATTTTAATTCAAAGTGGCGTACATGGGGGCAAAAAAAGGGTGACATAGTTGATAATTTTGCTAAATTTAAAATAATGAAAGAAGAAGTTGATGCCAATGATGTAAATTTTGAGATACTGGTCAAAATATACGATTTTAAGTAAATTTTAACTTGACTTCTTAAATATAATGTCATCTTTTGGCAAAGACTGTTAAGTGAATGAATAAAATTTGTTTTAAAAATATTAATTTAAACCTTTATTCAATATTCCCTGTATATAAAAACGAAAAGAATTCTCCGGGTAAAAATATGTAAGGCTAAAGTTTCAAAATATTAAATCAAACGTGTAGATTTGAAGAATTTTTCTTAATATCCTTCCACCACAAGAAATAATCCCCCATAAATTGTGTTTCTTTACAATTTTATGAGCAGTTTTTAAATTGAATATATAATTTGCATTGTTTAATTCAAATAATTTATAAAAATTGAATTGTAATAAATAATTTTGAAGGTAGAGACTCTGACCAAACTTTTCTCAAAAGCTGACGGGTGACATACCTTAAGAACATAACAATTAACAAACTGAGATTGTTTTTGCTTAATATCTAAACAGATGATTACTTTGTATTGACATTGATATTTTTATAATTTACTATAAATATCTCAAACTTTTGTAGATTCACCGTGTACAAACATTACCTACCTGGAAACGGTGCTATTCATATTGTGTTATGATGACACTGCATACTACCGAGCTCTACTTTCTAACGATTCAACAAGAGCGTTATGTCGGTATGTTTCATAGAAATCATACAAGGATTCCTTAATACATTTTGCAACCTACCTATTGTTGTCGGCTTCCATCTTATTAAATTGTTCACAGGATTTGAACATCCATGATGCAAGAATAATTAGTTTGAAAAGTTTTAATGTTTTACTTTGGTAAAACAAACTTTTATAACAAACTATACTATTAAAACGTTTCTATACTTGTAACTAATGTTTAAAATTACTTTTTTTATGTATCTGTCGAATGTTTCAGATTTCTGAATAAAACGCTTCGCTGTATAGTACAAGAAGTTGCCACCGACACAGGGATTACCTGCAGTAGAGATGAACAAAATAAATTCCTGGAGGAGAATGCTGATGACATCCAGAAACAATTATCCATAGACCCAAGGATATGTGAGTATTGACCTCGATATCCGCAAATCCTCGTATTCAATGATAATTAAGGACTATAAGCAATCAAAATCCACAGACCCCATGACATGTGAGAATGAACGCTGATTAAATGTCTAGGGTATTTCATACAAAGCCTCAAGGGTCATGTTTATATCTAGACCTTTATTTCAGTCTTTAGCTTTCTGATGAGGGCTGATATAGGACTGATATTATTTTTTTTATTTGTGGTTAATTGGTCCGTACAAATGATATGATACTGGATATAGTCGGTATCAATAGTCAGCATCAATCCTCACCGTCCCTATTTATGAATTAAGAGACTTGATGTTCTCAGTGCTATTTCTCACAGGAGGGTCGGTCTGTGTATCTCAAACAAGAGAATCAAAATTTAAGTACATGAAATTGATTCCAGAATTGTTCCTTTCCTCAAGAAATCCTTACACTCAGATACTAAAAATCGTTCACACTAAGTAGGTAAGATTTTGTGAAAAAATAACTGTTCTTGTTTCCTCAGGTTTGTCCTCCAACCCTTATCCATCTTTTGAAACATCCCCCTCTACTGTCTTCCCAGAACCGGACATGACGACATCAGCCATCATAACAGACAATGGTAACGTTTTCCTAAAGCATTTACCTTTGTGTCTACAAGTATTAAGTACTTTTATCTGAAAAAAAGAAGGTGCATTAGAAGGAACCTAGCCTCCAAAAAATATTTACATGTATTTTGTGCGTATTTAGTAATGCCTCCACGTAAAATTCAACAAATCAATTATAAAGTTCGTACAATATTCCATTTTTAGGATCACCTTGTACAAATTCATCCTACTTAGAGCAGCTGTTACTTAAAACATGTGTAGACTACTCAAGATACATTGAGGCTTCTCAGTCAGACAACACATTAAAATGCAGGTATGTGTAAAACGATACTTATTACATATCAGTTTCGAACTCCGAAATGTCAAAACCTTGTATGAAGTTAAAAACATAGTCTACCATAACGTTTGTAAATGGTAAAAGTGTGATACTTTTTGAAGTGGGTTTTACAGCCAGCTTTGAGTCAATTCCAGATTTACCGTTTATAAAATTAATTGACAGAACGCAAACCTTTGTCGATTTTAAATTCCATTTCTTTATTTTTTCTTTATTTTCAGATTTATGAATGACGTCATAGCGTGCGTAATAAATAATGTTTTCAATGAGACAGGTGTCCGATGTACTAAGGACCAGAAAGATGCAATTATTAAGGAGAACGCTGATTTAGTTAGTCGTCTTCTGTCATTAGATATAACAACATGTAAGTAGATCTATGTCGAACAATACACATTTAAATAGTTCACATGAAAATAATTTACAACTCAACATTTGTTTAAATTATTATAAATGAAGTTATTTTTGGAAGTTTCAGCCACAGAGTTGGAATTATGGAAATACTCAAATGAATATCTTTTCACCACACTAATACACGAAAGAAGAGTTTAATGATATTTTATTATAGATCAAGCCTTCTTTACTCTTAAGAAACTTCTCTTTTGATATCATGGACAGTTGATTTTTAAAAAAAAAAAAAAAAATAATAACAATTTTCTTAAAATTAAACCTTTGTGTTTTTAAGTAACTATAATGCATATATATAACACTAAATATTTTTTAATATGTCAATTTTGTATTTTTTTCAGGTTTTTTAATATAAAAAAAAGAATGAGCTTTATGAGGTAGAAATACCATACAGAATATGACAGAAAATAAATTGTTAGACTTATTACTGCAATCATGAAATACTAAATAATGGCATTATTAGTTACTAACTAAAGGCATTATTTGAATTAAAGATTTCAGGATTGGTGTTTAGGGGCATTAAGACTCAGTCAACTCTTCTGAAAGACTGAACATGATTTCAACTCATAGATTTACTTTCAACAAATAAATAAATGAGGACTTTACAACCAAAGTCTCCTCAAAGTATGAAATATTTCTTGGTTTAGAGACAGGACTGTGTATTTGTCAACATTAGTCAAGTTCGAAGGGTCGCAATCTGTAGAATATTGTCCGTTGCATATGGATTTTTGTTTTATCATTCATCATATTTTCTTCTCTATCCATTAAAAAATCCTCTGTCAATACACATAGCTGCATAATTTTTTACACTAACTTTTATTTTTTTTTTTAATTTTCTAAATTATTGTATTATTTGTGTTACCTTAACATGTCTAAGGATATTTTTATTAGTTTTCCTGTCGCCGGCATACTCAGTATGTTTATAATCAGTCTTTGTGGAGGTATTACATGTATATCGTTCTTATATGGCAACGATCAAAGAAAATACATTTAAAGGGCATTAGAGGACATTAATTTGTGTTCATTACATTAACTTATACGTTATGAATTATGCATATTGTTCATATTTTATGTAACAGATTATAATGTATTTATGATAACAATGTTATTAAAATAAAACAATAATTCTAAAATGTGATTCGTTTTGGATATGTTATTCCTTCAATAAACTGACATTTATTACACTAAATAATTTGTCCTCTGCAAAAGGCAACAGAAAAAATGCTGTACTTATTTACGAATGCATTTGAAAGTTAGAAATATTATATAAGAGCAAAACAGATTTCTGCTTACATATGACCTACATATATTTTTATATGCTCCCTTGCGTCTACTGAGCAGCGTCCAACAGACACAATTTCTCATGTCACCTTTTCTTTTGAACAAGTTGAACTAATTTTCAACCAGACAAAACCAAATTTTGTTTGCAAGAGTATCATTTATTTGTGAAATGGATACTCCTGAGTGTAGGGTTGAGATCCAAAGGTTGCAATGGCTAACATCTAGAAAAAAATTAAACAAACAATAACCTTTCAGTTCGACAAGACTCTATTGTGTATAGATGTACAATTTCTTATGTGCAAATCCCTCACAGAGAAATAGGGTGTAAAATCATTATTCCCTAGACGCCATATCATATGAAAGATCACGAAACTAGTAACCATCATGGTATTTCACGAAAGCCATAGTGCCAAGCAATAAAATTACTAGTATGTGCAAAATATCAAATCCGTAGATTTGCAACGGAGCATAACAACTTTTGCTCTGGCTACAATGTAGCTTTTATTTTCCTTAGAGTATGTGTAGAAATACATATCATATATTAGAACCCATCGACCTTTTGTGTTGCCTGTAGAGTAGAGTGACACTAAGTGATCATTTTACTTGTCTTCATGACTTTACTTCTCTGTCTGTCTGCCTGCCACACCTTATATATCAAGAACTGTACAGTTTTAAAATGGCATTGTCTTTCGCTTAATCAAATCGAAAAGTATTTCAGGACATAGGCAAGATAGTATTGAACTTTATCTTCTTATTACATGAATAATTGAAGAGTTCAAATGATTGAAGGATATCTGTGCGACCATTATAATTTGTAAACCTTTTCCTAAAATAAATAGATCTACCCTACCTATACTGGATTCCTAAACTTCATAAAAATCTGTACAAAGATACATTGCCAGGTCCAGCAAATGCTATACAATCATTCCTTACCATAAGTTAAAAACTAGGCTTTTTGAAATTATAGATACCGGTTACTCCTTCTTCAATAAAAAAGAAACTCGGAAATTTTCGTATCCTATGATTAGTAATCAATAAAATTACTTTATTATACAGTTATCACGCTGATACATGATTCTACATACAAATACTCTGAAGTTGATATTAAAAAGATGCTGGAGTTCCTCATTGACAATATATTCGTAGCTTTCGGAGGCCGGGTCCCCGTTTTACTACAGAACCTACGGCTTAAACAAAAATTCAATTTTGCAAAATAACTCTCTCTTTTTTTTTTTTTTTTATTAATTTGGAAGTCTTTTTGATCTTTTTAAGAGAATTTTGGAAGATATATTCATGAATACAATTTAAAAACAGAATTATTTATTTTGCAAGATTTTACAAGCAACTAAAGTTTTTGGTCTTTGTCGTAAGTTCCTTTATAAAACGGGCCCCAGGTCTTCCAACAATCTGTTGGAATGGTCATGTTTTAAATTTTGAATTTACCGGGTGGGAGTAAATACAAAATTTACAACGTAACATGTAAATTTTGTGTTTACTAGCACTCGGTAAATTCAAAATTTACAACTTGACAGAATTTCGATGGGCACTAATTGTGTTCCTTTATTAGCCGACCTGTTCAAAAACTTTTACATGAGGATAAGAAAGCGGAAGGTTTGGCCGATTGACAGGAGATGCTTACCGGGCCATCTGATCCTATCTCTGGAATTTCCGAGGGTCCGTGTTTTATGCCTTGTTCACAGATTTTGTATTGTTTATCGAGATCGATCAGTGTTCGTTATCTTAACCCTTTTTTTCATTTCGGTGGAATACCAACTTAAGCTATAAGTTTGATAATTTTTCGTTGAATACTACAGGAATTTTAACCATTTGATGTATATTCCAAACCCTAGTACTGGTACCCCTGGTACTTATTTTGACCAAGAATGTCTTTAAAAATAATCAATGGATAAGTCACGTTGTACAAGTGTTGTAAGCTAGGTTGCTTATGACCTTAGACCCCCCAAAAATCATTTATGTTGAGCTTGTGAAAATAACCCATTTAAGAATTGCAGTCGGGGGTACAGTCAAACACAAGGTTATATACTAGATGGTCACCAATCATATTTAGATCTTAAATAGGAAGATAAAGTTCACTTGGGAATTTTGATCAGTTGAGTCAAAATCACTTTCATATAATAGTGGATTTACACGAAGGATTGTGAACACAGAATTTAGTTACAACACCACGAAACATAAAATCTGTTTGTAAAAGAGGCTTTCAAATAGGATTCAGCTGTGGTTGCAAACTTTTCCTTGTCCAATGAGGTTGGTTCAAACCATTACATACTCACTGATCATAACATACCTCAGTACCACATATGAACTGCTAATGCTTTCCATAACTAAGTTAGGAGTCGGGCAATAATTTTACATTTCCAGTATCTGGAACAATGATCTTCTTTCAGGTGACATCAAATCAGTGTCAAGACACACCTTGTTGCCATCAGCTACATTTGTCTTAATTATAAAGTCTTCAATTGTTCAATTAAAAACTTAAATGAACGTAATAGTAGTGGACAGAAAAGAAGACGAGAAGACCGTCACAATATTGACAGATAGACTGACAGACATACGGACAGAAGATAATAGAATACCCTGGTGTACTCAGGGAATAACTGTCTAGTTTTTAGCTCATCTCAACAAACTCTGGGGGAGGAGGACGATGCTATTTGTATGTTTCATTGTACAAAGTCAAAGTTTCAGATGCTGCAATTCCATCTAAAGAATAACAATGTTAATGTTTTTGGAGCAGGTTAAAGTTTTCTGAGCAGGTCTCATTTCCAAGTAACTTAAAGCCCTATATTGACCAAACTTCCTCGGATCGATGTTACGTCTAAGAATGCCCCCCAGACTTGCTTCAGATGCTGGATTTGTCCTACATTTTCCAGATAAGTGACCAGGTAAATGTTTTTAGACTAGGTCCACTTCCAAGAAACTATAAGGTCAATCAAAACCAGACTTGCATTGATGATGCATCAAAGGATGCACACTAAAAGAGTTCACTTGCTTCATATGCTGGATTTGACCTACATTTTCCAGATAAGTGACCAGGCTTAAGGAGGGATTCTTCTCATATTTCTTGTATTTAAAAAATTAATGAAGTTTTCATAGATTCAAGAAGACAATATCGTTAAATGATGGTATCGATTTGATTAAATTTGACCGTTTTATTATAGAAGCAAGGTCAGGTCAAGGTCATTACCCTTTTCCCTGACATTGATAATAAAAAAATGCTGTTTCCAATCATGTGATGCCTGCTTCTATTTTAAAAGATAAAATGTTTTTTTTTTCTTTTTGCATAAAAAGATGTTACCATTTCGGGTCTATAAGATGATTCTAACAAATTAATTGACATTATTGAACTTAAATACATGTTGTAGGTATTGGCTAATCCGAATTTCCTCTGTTTTTCTTAATTTTTTATGATATATTAGTTATTTTTATATACTTCTTGTATTTAAATATTTCTTATTTTTACATATGGTAAAGTAGTCATATAAATATACAAAATGATACAATAACAACAAGCAAATTCAAAGAATTGTGGCCCCCCGCTTTCGGTGTCTTAGTGGATGGGATGCCATTATTTATGGCATATTGTAACTTTCTTGATTGTGTGTCCTGCCTTGTCTGTGCATTATACAAAAAAAGATATAAATTATTGAATTAATAACAGTTATGGCAAAGATTATAGCTTCTCAAAACTACATCAAACTTCAAGATCAAGGTCATGAGGTCAAATATCATAATAAAATCCGAAAGTTCTTGTCATAAGTAATGCACATGTGAGAAAAAATATCAAAAGCCAGAGTACACAGTAGGAAAAGTTTTGAAACAGGCAATGCACATGTCAGTTGTAAATACCATATCTTCTGCCAATCAAAAGTTATTAGCAATGTTAAATTTTTGAAAAGTAGGTAAAACTTCAAGGTCAAAGGATTAAGCCCTATCTATTCTCAATCAAAAGTTATGAGCAAAGATTAAAAATTAGGAAAGTAGGTCAAACTCCAAGGTCACGGGGTAAAGAAGGTCAAAAACCATAGTACTTTTGGAAAGGTCTTGTCACAGGTGATACACATGTCGAATATGAAAGCCATATCTCTTCTCAATCCAAAGTTATAAGCAAAGATAAACTTTTTGAAAAGTAGGTCAAACTTCAAGGTCAATGTCACGGGGTCAGAAATCATTGTATATTTGGAAAGTTCTTGTCACAGGTAAAATACGTATGTAATATGAAAGCCCTATCTTTTCACATTCAAAAGTTATAACCAATTTAAAGTAATGTTAATTTTTTTTGAAAAGTAGGTTAAACTTCAAGGTCACGGGGTCAAAAATCATAGTATATTTGGAAAGGTTTTGCCACAAGTAATGTACATGTAAAATATGAAAGTCCTATTTCATCTCTTTCAAAAGTTATGACCAAGATTAAAGTTTTTGTGACAGACAGACGGACAGACTGACAGACAGACGAATGAGATTTAATGTACCCTCGCTTTCGCGAGAGTGGGGGACAAAAAAGTTTGACCGTTTAGTAAGAGAAAAAAAACACTTTTAACTGATTTTTGGCTCAAATCTGTTTTTAGGTTGGAAGCTTTCAAAAGCTTACAAGATTGTAGTTTGTATAGAAAAATCATTATTATTTGGTATATTTTAAAACTTTAGAGCATTGTTATTAATTCAAGCTACATTTCAAAATTTCTTTTGATGTTTGATTGTTTAAAAAATATAACTAAAAGTATTGTTCTATAAGTGATTTTGATAGGCAGAATAAGAGATATTTTGATACGCCGCAGTTGCGCCAAAGAGAAGCCCCTGCTGGATTTCAAACTCGGTTAACCATTTCTATTTAAAATTGTACAATTAGGAGTAAAGAAAAATATGATCTTTTAAATACATTACAGCTAAGTATATAAGACATACTCGCTAATATACTTGGAATATTTTGTCTAGTCAGAAACCAGACAAGAGTCCCTCCTTAAGTTTCGGAGCAGACTCATTCCAGTGTAACTTTAAAACCTACCTAGACCAAACCTGCATAGATGATGCGTCACGGGACGAACACTCTCAAACTTGCTTCAAATGCTGGATTTGACCTACATTTTCTGGATGAGTGACTAGTTTAAAGTTTTTAGAATGAGTCCATTCCAGAGAATACATAAATGTTGCATCCAGGGATGCACATTTCTACATTATTAGTTTAGTGTTCGACAGCCTTACGTTGAATAATTTGCATAATCGCCGAAGGCGCTTATACATAAACCACACACACACACACACACACCCTCACACACACACACACACACACACACACACACACACATATGTATATATATATCAACAGACAATTTTTCGATATATTTACATTTTCACCTTATCCTGATACAATAAAAATATTTCTATTCAATAATGAGAAATCTCTGCAGGCTCTGCCCAGTTTATTACCAAGCAACACACAGCGAGAAAGCGAGTTTTGGCAGGCTTTATGGATATAAAGCTTTACGATATTTGTAGCTCTTGGACAAAGACATTTGAAATGTGTTTTAATGCAAAAATTAGAGCAAAATATGCATTTTAAAATAACTAAAGGATTTCAATAATTTACTGTTTCCAGTCCTGTAAACGTGAATGTGTTGCTTCGATTTTAGATTGACCTTGTTATCACTCCAATCATGAAATGTTATGCATACCAATTGAATTGTTTCAGTGAATTCACAATACGCAATTCCAAACTTGGTCATTTCATACATGTACAAACCTATTTCGTTCATCGATTTTAAAAAAAATTGATTTTTGGTTTATAAATAAAGCTAATAATGTAGAACGTTTCCTCTTTTTTTGGAATATACATAAAAATGTCATATAAAACGATCAACAATGAATTACGTGAAGCTATTATTGCAATGTTGTTTCATATTAGGTCGGAAAAAAGTGTGTTTTGCACATTTTATTTGTGAAAAGGCGGTATGCGCTTACGTGTTTTGTGTAAGAGATTTAAATACCCGACAAGGATGGATAACCGTGGTTCCGTGTTTTTTTTTTTTTTTTTTACGTTTTATGATCAGTCAAGCCTGTTCCTGAATTTTGCCATTCCTTAAAGATTGTCAAGGAAGGAATCTCACGAACAAATCTCATCAACTCAACAAAAAGAGGACAAATATGGCCAAGTTACATAAGTTTACAGCGGTAAGGTTGTCATTTTCTCCCCTTTATTTCTCGGCTAAAAATCTTTTGAGTAGGTCGTAGTTACATTCGTAATTAATTAACTGAAAGTAGAGTCGAGTTCAACAGTGTTATATTGTTAATCACAACAGATACGGAAGTTTTAGAAACTGTAATCAGGAAAGATGCAGAACTTTTAAGCTGACTATTCTGTTCTTTTAAATTGGTAGAATAATGCGGAGAGTTTTGGATTTCGTACGAGTGCATGCAAAACTTCATGGAAAATAAAGCTAACAAGCTATGCAACTATGGCACTTTCATTAACCTAGAAAGTAATCTGCTATTTTACTTTGAACATTTTTTAACTTTCGATCGGAGGAAAAAATGATTCAGAACCGAAAGAACTACTGAAATCATTTTTGATGGAATTAATTATAACACTTCTTTATATCGTTAGTGCAGGCTAGGACCATAAAACGACATCTGTGTCGTTACTAAGTCACCTGTGAAAACTTTTCTGTAGTTTACGTTCATAAAAAAATATGCCACGACAACCTAGAATTTCGAACGACATAAACTTAAATTTATGCACATAAACATTGTAAAGTGCGGTGTATATCATAACTGATTTAGGTAAAGTTACGAAAAAACGACACTATAAATGACGATTCAACCGCATCTTCTCTTAAATCACGGTGTTTATCACTTCCGGATTTGTTTACCCGAATCCATTAACACCATTCACTATCAATGAATTGTCGCGTCTAACTATAGTTAATTTTAAAGAAAAAAAATGAACTGCGCACCAGCTCTTTCTGCCCCCCCCCCTTTCCCCACACTTTATAGATATTACTTTGCTGCACATACTTGTCTTACTCTGAGTCGAAATGTTTGCATAACAATTTCAAGAAATTAATAAAAAAAAGTATTCTTTACTTTTAAAAAATAATCAGTAATTAAAATTATTAGATGTTTACACTTTCTTATCTCTTTTCTATCTATAAAAATAAAAATTGCAGATATAATCAATGAACAGTTTTCAAGACCGAAACATTCATGTATCGAAACAATTGTTATCAAATAAACTTTCCCAAATGTTGTTAATGGCAAATTCTTGCGCACATTTAGAATTTACTTAGTATGGCATGAAATAATGTATCACAAAGAAAATATATTGGAAAAAGTGAAAAGTAATTTGGCACATAAATGGGATGATAAAATTACAGAAACCATAAAGTATAAGGGTATAAAGTAGTCTGTGGCGTAATTTTAGGCACACATTTAGTTACACTTGCCGGATGCCTCAGATAGAATCTACAATGATCACAACAAAAACTTCCAAACTGAATCAGAATGAGTTACAAATTTAAAATCCAAAGAAACAATAGATCCTTTCTTTTAAAAAAATGGGGAGATAACAATATCATATCCTTTCTACAGATAATCAAAATAAAAACAAAATATCTTGACAACAAACAGAAATCCCTAGCAGTGCCTATAAAGGTATACATGTATAATGTTTTCTCTTTTAGATACATACTAGAGTTGATCATGCGCCCTCATTAAACAGAGACATTAGTCAACAAGTGTAAAAGATCTATTGTTTATCATTTGGACTCTAGATAAATGAAATTTATATGGGCCGGAAAAGTTCATCCACGTTTTGCAAAAGAAATATTTATTTCGGTTTCCTGTATTTATAGCTAAATAATGAAGACCTTGAAAATGGTGAAAGTAATCTTTTTGAAAACCCGTCATATATGTGTGATCTTGACGACAGAGAAGAACCAAAACGTAAGTAGAAGTGATACTGACGAAGTCCTTCAAGATAGCTGAATTTCTTTGATATATTCTTTAGTGACTGCAACATTGGGTGCTCTGTATCGTTTAACCTAAACCACAGTCAAGAATTGCTTCGGACTGGATTTGACCAACATTTTCCGGATAAGTGACCAGTTTTAGGTCTTTAGAGCAGGTCCATTCTAAAGTAACTATAAGTCCTATGTTGACCAAACTTGCATGGATGATATGTCTAAGAATACACACTACAGACTTGCTTCAGATACTGGATCCGACCAACATTTTCCGGATGAGTGACCAGGTTTAAGATTTTGGAGCAGGTCCATTACCAAGAAACTGTAAGGCCTTCTTGAAACAAACTTGCTTGGATGATACATCAAGCGATGCACACTAACATATTTATTTCAATAGCTGGATTTGAGCTACTTTTTTGGATGAGCGTTTAGGTTCAAGTTTTTGGAAAAAACTCATTCGAGTGTAATTTCAACCCCTATCTCATCCAAACTTTCAAGGATCTTGCACTAGGGCTGCACACTAACAGACTTATTTCGGATGCTGGGTTTGATCATTTTCCAGACGAGTGACCAGATTTAAGTTTTTGTAATGTTCCCTACCTAGAACAAACATACATAGTTGATGCATCAAGGGATGAAGACTACAAAACTTACAAAACTTGCTTCAGATGCTGGATTTGACCAACATTTTTCAGATGAGTGACCAGGATAAAGTTTTCAGAGTAGGTACATTCTAGTGTAAATTCAAGCCCTACCTGCACCAAAGTTTGCTGGATGATGCTTCCAGGGATACTCACTACCAGACTTGCGTCTGATGCTGAATTTGATCTCATTTCTGGATGAGTGACCAAGTTAAAGGTTTTGGAGCAGGTTCATTCCAGTTTAATTTAAGCCCTTCATAGAGAAAACTTGTACTTCTTAGAGCAAACTTGATACATCTGGGGATTGACGTTACCAGGCTTACTTTGAATGCTGGACCTGACTGATGTCTTTTTTCTTTTTTTTTTTCTTTTTTTTTTTTTTTTTTTTTTTTTGAGCAGGTCCATTCAAAGTGAATATACATGTACTGCCTACCAGGACCAAACATGTATGGATGATGCATCAAGGGATGCACACTAATAGACTTGCTTTGTATACTAGATCTGACCTGCATTTTCTGGATAAATGGGATGAGTGAAAAGTTTAAAGTTTTTAAAACAAGTCAATTCCCAAGTGAATGGAAGCTCTCCCTGGACCAGCATCTCATAAATGTTGCAGCTAGGGATGCACATTGCTAGATTATTAGTTAAGTGTAGGACTTTGCCTTACTTTTAGATAACATTCGTTGAGGTGAGCTCTGTAATCTTTGATTATCCATGTTTGTTATGCAATTCCTGTAAAACTTTAGCTTGGAGTTAAAAATTGAGATAATTCTGTGAAATGGCAGTGACATATAAAATGATTGTCAAAAGTCAGATCTTAGATGGTCTTAAGATCTGTCTCAAAGGACAGATTTTACGATAGTTTTGTGAAACCTAGCAAACCTACCAGTAATGCAAAAAATGAGATTAATTATGATTGTAAACACAGCCTATAGATAATTCAGTCTGATAATCTGTAAAAAAAAAAATCATACTGATAATATAATGAAATCTTTATCTGTAAAAAATTTGATTATATCTTTCATATATCTGTTTTTAAAAGTAATCAAAATGATGTAAAATATTCGGTTATTTTACAAGAAAAATATCTTAAAGGCTTTTAATGATATTTATTAATTTTAAAAATAAAAGGATTTTTAATATAAGATTTTATAATGAGATTATCAGCAATCCGAATCTCATAAATTAAAATTCGATTCATAAAAAAAATCAACGACTTGCAGCGAAGGCGTTTTCTTTTCAATAGATGCAGTTCAATTCTCGCCTCCTAAAAAACGCTGCACAAGAGGCAACTTTGCAGTTGTAATATTTATCTTGGCTGCCGGAGGATTAGCGGTGTTTCTGATTGTCAAATTTGCACGTACGTATCAGCAAAGAAAAAAAAAACTTATGTGGAGCAACAATTTCAATTTATATTCATATATGGAAAATTTGATTTGTACCTTATTCTATCTTTTCCAGAGGACAATTATGATGTAGATCCCAGTAAGTTATTCATTTTGAATATATATATATATATATATATATATATATATATATATATATATATATATATATATATATATATATATATATATATATATATATATATATGTGAGATAAATAGATATAAATGTAACCAAAAATTATTAAACTAAGATAAAATTTACACATAAAGAAGCAATGTTAGAAAGTTTTAGTTTAACTCAGTAATTTGACGCATTCAATTCAGCACCACGACCAAGACTTGGAGAGACTATCACCAAGACCTCCGATACAAGTTAGTATAACGCACTCATTTTCTGTTTTACGTTTTGAAAATCTTGACTTCAAGCTGTATATAACTCTTAAAATATTTTAAATCTGATATTCAGTTATTGTTTATGTATTTTCAAATGCAGTTTCAGTGAGGGGTTGATTAAGACTTACCAATTTTTTAGATGTTTATTTTAAAGGTTTGTTCTTTGATGTTACTATAAGACTCTCAAATCAAATCTGGACCAATGATTTCTTGAACACAAACTCTGAAGCGTATAGGAATTTATCGAACAGCTTCAAACAACAGGTAATGTAGTTATTCATATAAAATCTTTAAAATAAAAAACAGAAACGAAAAGGACATTTGTATGATCACACTAGCAAACAATATGCACAGAAACTATCTCAATAATACGAAAAAGAACCAGGCAAAATAAAAATTTATAAGCAATATGCAACTATGATATCAAATGTTTTCATTTTATAGATCAAGGAAGGTTTGAACGAGACAGAAATTGGACCTTACCTAAGTGACGTTTTTATTATTGGTATAAGGTAATAAATTGTAAAACCTATTTTTTTTTTTTTTAATTTTCTCTTGAGTCTGTACAACACATTGCATATCAATTATTATTAAGTCATTTATTTCTTTATACTAGTACATCGATAGACAGAAAAACAATAATAATTTGTATTAGAAAATGATTCACACAAAATTTTATCTATATGAATTCAAATTATCTAAATATGATGTTTGCTTCCACGCATATTTTCCCAAAGTTTTTACGGTTTTCATATATTACCTGCTAGTACGCTATAACCTTCATGAAATTTCAGGAATGGAAGTATTATCATTGATGTTCTTGTACAACTAAAAGCTCCCTCCTCGTCATCATCGCTGTTATCTAGTCTTAGAAACGCCACCGATAGGGCAAAATCCAGTGGATTACTGCCTTTACTAGCGGATGTTGACACTGAAAGCATTAACATTTCATTATATATAACTCCCACATCTTCTCCAACAACGACAACAGTTATTAAAAATACAACTTCCTCTGAAATCCAGTCATCATCATCATCATCATCATCAACAACAACAACAACTTCATCGTCAAAAAATGAGACAACGATAATATCTTCAACCCTATTGATGTCAACACCATCAACAACGCCTACAAGTAAGTATCAAATTAAAACGATAACCAAACAAAGAATATAAAATGCTAAGCTAATTATTTGATACAGCAAATACAAAAAAATCATCGGATATCTGTACTGTTGGGGGTGAGTATTACGTAATTTCTTTCTCTTGTAAAATTACTCACTTTTCAAATGAATGTGTAAATAAGCCTACTAGCATATCTTACTGTCTTAGCTGTATGTATTTCAGTCATTCTACGATAAAATAATTGTTTCAAATAGCAAAATTAATATCATAATTCTCTTAAGGACATATCAGTGAACTTGAAAAAGAAAAAAGAAATGTCCACAAATCTGGTATCTTTAATTTTTAACAACAATCTTAAGATACCATTGATTTTAAGGTAATGTTACGGAAGTTAATGTTTGATTTACTCTTATTATTTTTTTTAATAAATCTGAATTTGACCACTTTTGCATTTTCTGATGTTCAGTATAGAACATGAAGTTTTGCATTAATCCGATATCAAGTTAAAAGTTTGGGAAAAGACATCGTTATGGAAGTTAATTTCCAGCAATAAAAGTTAAAATTCTCTGCAGTAGTTAAAATAAACGTTTGTTTTAGGAAGATAAACAAAAGTATAAAGCATTTCTCTCCCAAAATAATATTTTTTGTATACTTTTAATGCAAAAACTTTCCTGAATTACCGTTACGGAAGTTAAATTTTTAAGAGAGACAACGTTTTTGTTTAATTATTTTGTTATGTCGAACATGTAATGGTCTAAAATAGCTGACTCGCAATTAGAGTCGATGATGTTAGGTTTTATGGTCACTTTCAGATAAGTTTCATTTCTTTTTTAAATCTGTATTCTGTGCGTGAAATTCAAAACAAAATCGTAACGGAAGTTCATTGATTTTCAGCGACATGCAATGATTTCATATGAAAGAAGATCCATGTATTTCTTTTTGAGAAGTGGTTTGATTTCTTTACTTTTTTTTTTTTTTTTTTTACATTTTTTTTATTACAATATATTCCGAACGTTTATACGGGTGAAAATTTCATTTTGAAATTTATAAATGAATAAAGCGACATTTAGATTTGCATTGGAATACATTTTTCAACATTACATTGTGTTCATATCAAAACTTTAACTGCATAAATATCGGTAAATATTTATAAAACCATGTGTGTATATTAAGTCATAGAGTTGAAATCGATCTTTAATTTTACACTTAAGATATTACAACGGTAAATTTGTAAGTGCCTTAAAAAAAACTTAATTGGACATGTTTTTGTATAATGACTTTTGTTTTTGTCTCTGTCGATAAGTACATTTTTATAAGTATTTCTGTTTTATTTTACCATAGTAAGAGTGATGTACCATATTACTATTTTAAAAAAAGTTTTAAAACGTAGTAAATTATTCTATTTCAGCTTTTCCTTGTAATAACTCAGAATACTTAACCAACATCTTGATATCTCAATGCTTGAATACTACCCAGCTAGGTGAGGTGAAACAGTCCACCGATGATGTCAAGTGCAAGTAAGATTATGAAAGCATCTGTGAACGCAATGAATCTTATTGTATATTGCATTTCCACTTGCTAAATAGATTCTACGTAACTGCTGCAGTATGCATGGACCATGAGTATCGAAACTGGAAATGAAACACTTTATATTCATTTCAACTTAGCAAGTGTAAACAACTTTGAAAGCAAAGAAAAGAATGCCAGGCATATGTGCTGTTATTCTTAAATATGTAACTGTAAATGCTCACAGATGTTCGAATTAAATTAAAAAGAACCGCGTGCAAATTCTCGACTTTTTTGAGAGTTTTCAATGTTTGAAAGTTATTTTAAGATTGTTTTGGATTCATTCTACTACTACTCTTATTATGTGTACATGTAGTTAAGTTTGAGTTTTATGTACAAGATGAACAGACCAGATTTTATAATTACTGATTCTATCATTACTCTGTTGTAGATTTGTCCTTACTTCCATAGATTGTGTTCTCGACAAAATACAAGAGAAATTTAATCTCACGTGTTCAGAAGCGGACAAAACTGCTGCTGCAAAAGAGTTTTCTAGTGTTGTTCAGAGCTCTATCGGAATCAATCCGGAAATTTGTATGAATTAACCATTTTAAATTAATTATATTAATTTTTTGGGCTCCTTTTGTCTTGCATAAAACTGAATGTAACACACTATCATAAAAGTAGGACGTGTATAATTTTCATATATTTATGATTTAGCAAATACGTAGGTAATAGATAACACATCAGTCGGAATCAATAATTAGATAGATCCACTGTACTTACATGAATTAATTTTGAATTGGATAACTTCAGTACACATACATTATAAAATTATTTTTGGAAAAATACAGTACCTAAAGAATTTTACAATAGTAATCTTACAAATCTAATAATTTCTTCAAAGGCATTACTCCATCAACCTCCTTACCGCCCCCAATGATGACGACAACAGCGATGAAAATAAGTAAGAATCTTACTAAACTGAAACATAAAGAACCAGAAGTCTCTGATGAGACTGTAGCTCTACTGGCCTGTACATATAACAAAGAAAAAGTAGCAATGGGAACTTTGCAACATGCAGCAATAAATAGAATTATTTATCTTAATGCAGTCTACTTGTGTGCAAAGTTATATTGAAATCAGACCAAAACTGTAGGAGGAATAGCATTTTGAAAAATTGTTTACAGATTGCTAGACAGACAGAGGGACGAACGACGGACACCTTACTATTGCATAAGCTCTTCTGGTCTCTGACCAGTAGAGCTAAAAATAGGGGAAAATAGGGAAATTGTTATTGTTATTGTTCCTAGTTATCAAAGCAAATGACATAGATGAGAATAGATAGCTGTGAATCTGATATTTATAGTTGCACTTGGCAAAACTTACGGATATAAAAATCAACATTGTAAACCAAAATACGTTCAAATTAGTATCACTCTATACTTATTCCAAGTATAAAATGCATGTATCCAAAACTGGGTTTTAAGTGCGTAGGACGTTTCATGATATAGACATCTAATCATTAACATTTTCCTACAGTTTCAATACACACTTTAAACGCAATATTTTGACCTCCTGTTTCATTTCACCATGTCCATATTAGTACATTGCTATAATCATGCATATGTAATACATTATTATAAACTATTATGTTTTCAGTATCTCCCTGTGATAACTCAGAATACCTGACCAACACCTTAATAAATCAATGTTTGAATACTACCCAGATTAGCGAGGTGTCACAGTCTACTGATGATGACAAGTGCAAGTAAGATAATGAAAGCGTTTGTGAATGAAATCATAATTAAAACTTTTGCACAAAATTCAAATTATTGTAGTTCATTTTTTGGTTCTGTAAATTAGCAGTTTACTAGAAATTCTCTCAAAAGTGTCACTACCCTTACGAAGTAATGTATTTATCTTGTAAATTTCTACAAAGTTTATCATTTAATCAGAAAATAAAGAGAAAATTACTATTCAAAGATGTTTTATGAAATGTAATTTTTAAAGATCAATTTTGCATTTCTAGATGAAAATTTATTGAGAAATATGATTCATTACAATAAAAAGTAGGTTTCCAGACATGAAGAAATTCATGATTTGATTCTTCTATCGACTTCAGTTCTTATACAGATTTTTGTATAAATAGCGTGTATAATCATTACAAGATAACGAATATGCTTTTTATTTGATTTCATGCTTTGTATGAAATACATGTAGGTGAAGGTAAAGAACAGCAATCAATCTCAAAAAACCTACAAACAATAAAATCTGTGAACAGAACATAAGAGGTGGGATTAGGTGCCTAGGAAGCATAAATGTTCCCTTTATACCGGTCCCTCCCGTTGTGCATGAGCGTAATGTATTGATCAGGTACACACAATAATCCGTAGTATAATTAAGCATAAATAAAAAGGGCTAATAACTACATGTATTGGTATGTAACATGTCAGTTAAAAGACAACCCAATGATAAGTTATAATTGCTAACAAGTTCACTATAATGCCGTTTTTAAAAGAGGTTGTTTAAATCCCTGTAATATCAACTTATTGTCAGTAGTTTGCCTCGATTTAAAAGTTGATCCTGTGCAGCGCATCTTTTTGAGTATTGAATACGTTGGGGGGCATAAACTTCCTATGCGGGTGATAAAGAAATATTGCTACATATGCATGTAAGGAAAGTTGACGATGGAAAAGCTGAAGTTATCTCGTTTGTCATACAGTTTATACTGTAAGTATTGAAACAGAAGGGAATTCAAAGAAAATTTTATCTCTTTATGTCCACATGTCAATTTTTGTCCTTTTGTTTGGAGTACATATCAACGTTCTTCAAACCCGATTTTAGAACTTTAAAATATATATGAGATAAAAGAAGCATAGAATGAAAATTGTTGTTATAATAATTTAATTTCAAACTCAATTTAATTTCTCTATCAAATACGTTATAATTACAAGACTAAGTTCTTTTACGAGTCACTTCGTTAATTTAATATCTGAGAAATAATGTGCAGTAATAACATTCATTAAATTTTCAGATTTAGTTTAGTCGCCGTAAATAAAGCGAAAAAAAAACTATATATAACATCCTCATCGTTACTATTTCTGCTTAACATTTGAAACGTGGCATTACGTCCCAATGAGAATTTTTGCAATTAAAGGGTCTTTAATCCCTAAAAATGAATCATGAATCACGATATATTTAAAACAGCTTATAGAGACAAAAGGGATACATTCTAGATATCATGTAGTGCATATAAGAATACAAAAATAGGAAAAAGGTTAAAACAACTTAAACGATTAAAAAAAATGAAGGGGGGGGGGGTCCATTCCCCAAGTGCCTGTGCAAATAACATCTACTGCACGAGACCTCGGGTTATACGGTCCCGTCTGAAGGACTTGTATGTACGTCTCGAAGTGACATTCGTACCCGCGACGTAAAGTTCAAACTCCCGACTTTTTTTGAGGATTTCTTTCGAAATAAATTCTCAAACCACTGCGACTTATAAAACAGTATTCAGTTCAGCTCGTACATTCTGAACAGCTTTGTGAGCTAGAATGAGAGAATAAATAAAAGATGGATATGCTTTAAATCACGTCATGGAGGAATTTTTGATTAATGGATTAAAAAGTACCTGCCAACTGTTCACAAATCTACAAACACAGTTGAAACATGTTTTTGACTTTCCTGGTGATTTGAGATATACATTGTATTTGTAAAGTTAAAATAAGATATAATAAGACCATATGTTTATATATATATAAAGGGATCTTCCACTGCATGTATTTCAAGACCAATTTTCAAGTATGTCACAAATAATTAGGAGAACATACCATCCCATGCTTTATTGTTACTTAAATGTTCTCTTTTTCAGTTTTGTCCTTGCTTCCATAGATTGTGTTCTGGACCAAATACAAAAGGAACATAATGTCACGTGTTCAGAGGCCGATAAAAATGCTGCTGCAAAAGAATTTTCTAGTGTTGTTCAGAGCTCTATCGGGATCAGTCCGGAAATTTGTATGAATTTAGCGTTTTTAGTTTTCTTTCTTGCATTGTTTACTGTATATAAAAAAATAGCGCATTCGTAGGCATTAGACTAATTAGCGGAATCATGAATATATTTACAATCGTTTAAATTCAATATATAAATATGAATTCATATTTTGGTAATTAGGTACTAGATCACTCAAATTCACAAGCAGTATAAGATTATTTAAAGATAACTTTATTGAAAAAACAGTGTTTGAAGAAAGTACTATGGTGTTACAAATTCAAAATTTTGCAGGCTTAATTCCATCAACTTCGGGACCTCCCCCATTGATGACGACAACGACAAAAATAAGTACGTAACTTTGAAAGTTAAACAATAAAAAGAAAAAAGAATATGTTTATATTAGTATGAATGACATGGCGTATCTGAGAATAACAATCTTTCAAACTGGATATTTTATTTTCTGAGAAAAAAAGACATGTTTCAATAGTAAGTATATATATATATATATATATATATATATATATATATATATATATATATATATATATATATATATATATATATATATATATATATTCCATATCTATGCATTGCCATTTTTCTGCGGGATCAATATACGTTTTGACTGTTAAATTTCAGTACATATATCTCCATTCAACAAATTCAGAATACCAGTAACTATAACTGCTCTTCAATCATAAGCGGGTAATTTCTGTTTCAGTTAATCCTTGTAACAACTCGGAGTATCTAACTAATACCCTATTAGCTCACTGTTTCAATACAAGCCAGCTCAGTGAGGTGTCACAGTCAACTGATAATGTTAAGTGCAAGTAAGATAATAAGAGCTTTTAAGACTTAAACCTCATTTTGCATTCCCAATGTATTAGTTTGTAATTATTTATGTTCTCCAAACGAAGTTTGGGAACATATTGTTAGCTCACCTGAGCTGAAAGCTCAAATGGGCTTTTCTGATCACCTGTTGTCCGTCGTCCGTCCGTCGGTCTGTAATCCTTTGATATTTTCAACTTCTCAAGAAGCACAGGGCCAATTTAAACCAAAATTGAAACAAAGCAACCAAGGTCGAAGGGGAGTTTAAAGTGTTAAAATGAAGAGCCAAACCCCCTTACAAGGGGAGATAATCATGAACAGACAAAATAGGGTGAGGTCATTAATTTTTTTTTCTCAAGAACCAGTGGGCCAGAAAAGATCCTGGGGTAGTGTAAATTCTAAATCGTTCAAATCATGGCCCCCGGGGGTAGGGTGGGGCCACCATAGGAATCCAAATATAGGAAAAAATGTTTTAAAATCTTCCTAAGAGCCACTGGGCCAGAAAAACTGAAACTTATATGAGAGCATCCTGGGGTAGTGTAGATTCTAAATTGTTCAAATCATGACCCAGGGATAGGGTGGGGCCACATGAGTGTAACAATGGGGAAATCTGATGAAGAACAGCAGGGCTAAAGTTTCTAAGGTGAGAGTTATGGCCCATGGGCCTCTTGTTTTTAATTTCTTTTTTTCAAAATTTCTTCTCCGGTACTTTTTGTCCGCGAGTGTTCTCGAAAACTACTCATCAGATTAAGAAGAAACCTTTTTGGGGTTGTATGTAACAGGCATGTTGTGTAGATGTGCGGAAAGAAGGTCATTTTCTGCACATGCATAGACGTGCGGGCGCGTGCAATGAGTGAAATGACAGATATACTTAATATAGCTGTAACTTTTATATTTTATTTATGAAATGCTTTGAAACTCAAATCATAAAGATATATTAGTGTTGATGAGTTGATATCGTCAAATTAGCATGAACTCACGCGCATGCACGTCCCCTCGCTCTGATTATCTGAAATGAAAATTTCAATATTTTCCTTGTTTTTTGACAAAATACTTCGAAATTGAAAATATAGGTATGAATTAAAAGGTTCTACAATATATTTTATGTGGAATTTCTTGAAAACACGCACATTCACTTGTGGTGCATTTTGATTGGCTGAAACCTTAAATGGCTTCTTAAGTTTTCAACAAAACAGACTGAAATTTAGAATATAGATAGGTATAATGGGTTCCTAAATTTTGATACAATCAAAACTGAATGCAAGGACATGCATGCACGTGTGCTGAAATCTGATTGTCTAAGGTTGCTAGCATTTATAACTTTCTTAAGTATTAAAGAAAGAAGATGAAATTCAGCGTAAATATAAATAATACCAGTTCCTACTTCCTACATTATTCACTCATCAGAAATGAATACGAGGACATGCATACGCGTGCGCTGATTTCTGATTTTTTAATAACTTAATATTCATGTTGCTGTAATTTTCTACGTTTTCAGTGAAATTCTTTGAAATCTAAAATGGAGGTTTTTATTATGGCATTCTATGAGATGACGTACATTTATATAGTAATTTTCAAAATCATGTGCATACACGTGTATTTGAATCTTATTTGCTTATGCTCATTGTGCTATTTATGCATTGTTCTCCCCCCCCCCCCCCCCCGAAAAAATTAAGGAAAATAAGTTAAGAAAGTCTATTAAATAGAAAGATTTTGCTTAATTTAGTATGAAGCTTATAGGGAATGGGGTCCCAAAGGGATTAGCGGGAGCGTGTGGGGAACACCATGTAACGTCTCCGTTACGATGAGAACTAGTTTGAATTAAATCAAAGGAAATTTGAGCGTTTTTCTCCACACTTGATAGAATTGAACGAATAGTGTTAATTAGAGAACTATATTAGCATTAAAATTAAGTTTCTAATGTTTTTAATGTTGTTAATTTAATTATTGGATTTATAACTACAAATGAGTAATGATAATACTACACAAATTTTGTACATCACTTTTCATCAAACACTCACACATTATATTATTTAAGGGCAATCATGTCAATAAAAGAGAGTTTTGAGGATTAAAGGATAAAAAAGAGTCGATTGAAAGGCCCCCTGCCCTGAATAATTTTGTATTCGATGTCTTGATTAATGAAGAATCTGTAAACAGCCCACCCAAAATTTAAATTTAAAGGATACACATAAGATATCAGCCTTTTCTTCTTTTCTCATAAATATCCATATAATTATTTTTTCTTTAACAAGGAAGAAATTAAGTGGTTTAGTAGACCTCTTCCTTCGATTTTCAAGAAGTTCTTATCGTATATACATATATCATATCACAGCTGATCATATGGAAATATTAACATACGATAATACAATCATTGATTCTTCTGTGTCATTTTTTTTAGGTTTGTCATTGCATCCATTGATTGTGTGCTGAACCAAATACAAATGGATTTTAATATCACGTGTTCAGAGGCTGATACAATGGCTGCTGCTAAAGAATTTTCTAGTATCGTTCAGGCCTCCATCGGGATTAATCCGGAGATTTGTAAGATATCATCTCTATCAAAGCGTAGACAAAAAAATCAATTTGCATGACCGATTGAGTATCAATGCTTAAGAATAGCCATGGTGGCTGTTTTTGTCACATTCAGGTTTATAACCTCATTAAGTCTTGCATTTATTCAAATCTTAAAGTCATGTGCATTATCGAGAACTGAAATTTAATTTTGTAATTAATTCATTGTTCCCATTTTTAAAAAAAATATTTATCTTAATAAGTTAATTACCCGCAAAAATTGTCCCTTAAAGTTTCGTTTATATATTTCAATAGATTAAATCAGTGATTACAGTTATATCCCTTATTAGGTAGATAATTGTAATTAGATATATTAAATTAAATCTGAACAGTATCGTTATTTTGTTCGTCATTTGAAGCTTTGAGACATCACTTTTGAAAACTATATTTCGGTTGTATACACTTAAAATATGTTATTTCAAACATTGACAAATATCAAATGTAGACTTCTTTACTGTATACCTACAATATTCCATACCCAATGTTACTTCCAAATACCGACTCAAAACATATAATGAGGGTAGGATGATGCATATTTAAAGTAAACCAGCTTCGGCGAATATTCAAATATATTTTAATACTTTATTTGAAAATTCGAATATGTATTATTGACAAAATTGGCATCCCTATTAATTATAAAACATTTTTTTAATTATCTGATAAGAACGGTTACTTTAATTGCTTATTTTTGTAAAATATTGATCACTTGTTTAGAAAATCGGAGAGCTTAAACGTATCTACTTGTTGCATTAATAAGAAATCAAATGACAATGTTCGAAGGAATTGTAGGCCTTTCAACAAGTCCACTGACCCCAACTTCAACCCACATGGCTAATGTGACTACTGGAACAGTAACACAATTACTCACAACGAAAACAGCAATATCAACATCAGAAACAATGACAACGAAAATAGCAATGTTATCATCAGAAACAATGACAACGATGTCTTTACATACATCACCATCATCCCCAACCACAAGAACAACAATGGCAATGTCATCAACTGAAACAACAAGAACAACGCCATCCCTCACAACAGCAACAACATCACCCACAACAACATCATCTTTACCTGAAACATTAACAACATTATCACCAACATCATCATCCACAACAAGAAAAACAACAATTTTTATACCTACCATAATGACAACAACAACATTATCACCCACAACGACAAAAGTGACAATATTGTCAAAGGAAACAACTACTACTTCATCACCTACAAAAATGACAACAACAATGGCATTTCCCACAACGACGACAACATTCTCGTCACCCACAACAACAACATCAAAGCCATTACCTACAACGATAACTATGTCAAAAATAACTACATCATCACCCATAACTTCATCAACAATGACAACAGAAATGGTATCATCCACAGCAAAATCATCGCCATCATCACCCCCAACTTTGACATCAATGTTGTCACCCACTACAATAAGAACAACATCGACAACGTTATCATCAACAATATCGACAACGTTATCACCAACAACATCGACAGCGTTATCATCAACAACATCGACAAATACATAACTCCAAACAAGTAAGTTCCATATTAATGAGGAAACATATTTAAAGTTATTTTTGAATTAAAATGAGTTAAATCGTGTTTTCCTATTTAAAACGTTAATAAGGATAAGAATCAGTAAGTTGTTAGAACTTATTTTCCAATCCTTTTGATTTATATAATAAACTGTGTTCAAAACAAAACTAAGTTACCCTAATCTCCTCAGTATCTCTGCGATTATCCTCTTGTCCTACTTGCATAGACGACGCCATGATCTTTATTCAGGGTTTAATCTCATGTGAAGTAAAGTAAGCGTTTAAACATAATCTGAGATGTATATTTACGAGTACATGTACGTATTGTAAGATATGTTTCAAATTTAAATTTTGATCTTCGAAAGGGTGAAAGTGGCACTTTCTCTGTTCAAAATTTAATTATTGTAAGAGATATGGCCTTGTGTCTTGCATATTTGTGCGATGGTTTAAATTCCTTAAAGATAGTTTCCATACAAAATTTGTATCTTATTTCGACATACACATGTATGTTCTGGATTTTTGCTCGGTAAACAAAGATTTTATTAATATTCATTATCATCAGAGGTCAAATGGACACAGTGAGGTCATTTTGAGAAAGGAGATTTCAAGCTCTGAAACCTGTTTATAATCATTTTTATACAAAAATTAATGGCTGATGGTGGCTGTGTTCTCAATCAATCTCACTTGGCACAGCTAACGAAAATATAAAACAGCGTTTTTCTAAAAATGGAGGGAGGGGCAAGTTTTCCACTTTTTATTTTTTTTTCTACGATGGAAAAAAAACATATGCGAGAGATTCCCTTCAGAAATGAATTCAAAATTCTGGCCTTATCACTAAAGGTTTTTTGAATTGTTGTTATCTTTATTTCTGATGAATGCTAAAGTGTCTTTAACCAGGCTATAAGCTTAGAAATGCATTTTTCATTACAAGTTCAAATTATAATTTTAGGTTCATCTGGGAGTAAATGAATGGAGTATCTGAGAAAATGAATATATTCTCCAATGATTGGGGTACTGCTGTCCTTGAAGGTGACATGTAGTCAATATACATTTAGTTGAATGAGTGTAAATGGTAAAAGATAATTGCTGCACTAACTTGATTACCGAGTGAATCCAAATCCTATGTTATGTACAGACCTAGAAATGAGGTTTTTTAATACGCGCCATTCACTATCTGTCATTCCATCAAGTCATTTTTACATCATAGTGAATATAAGAAGGACTAAGTAAAAATAATAAAAATAATGTATATAGTTCTTTATTGTCACATCAAACAAGAACGTTTTAAACCAGTGCAATCCGTACAAAGCTTACTATAGCTTGTGATTAATAACTGTTTTCAATGCCATTATATGTGCCATTATATAGTCACATTGAATCTGAGTTAAATTAGTGTATAGTTTTATATATTGTATTGCATATGTAAATGTGCTAATTTGAGGAGTTTGGATAGGAGGGTTAGGGATGAATGTTTCTACAGCTATTATGCACAAAATAATAATTTAGAGATACATGTACAATGTATTATTTTTTTTTTTATTTTTTTGAATATTGACCTAATTTGTAGTCACCCCTGTGCTGTCATTCTGCAAACTTTATTTACTTTACCAAGTTACAAAAGAATAAAGTTGATTTGAAGGAATTATACATAACAAAGGTGATAAAATATGTAAATGTACAATGATTGATGAATTTTTTGATATAAAAAATAACAGACCTATATGCATTCCAGAATTACTGTATGTCTCTTTATACTGTTATGTAGGTTGGTCCCAACGGATCTGTGCTCAGAGTATCACAAGCGGCTTGTAACAAGTTTAGCTACTAGAAATATCTATACTTATAAATTAATAAATTTTGCAAATTAACTCCTAAACGGGTGCACCAGAGTTCTTACTTACTCCTCTTTCAAGATGATGTCCGTAAACTATATTTAGATTTCACTCGCATAGTAAGTATCGTACATTAAATTAAAAGTCTACTTTTATTTTCTATAAACAGCCATGAAATAGCAAAAACATGAGTACGGTGGCGTTTCCGGTTGGCAGATCTAAGATACTGGCAATTTTTAATGAAACTGACAACAAGCGATCATTTATTTATTTCATAAAATGTCATCACTGAATTATTCAATGAAAACTTGATTTAAATGATATAAAAGAAATAAGTTGTGATATAACCGATTAAAAAGGGAAATGTGCAAATTAATTTCGTCATTCACCGATCTTAATATTGATGGAAGCTTCTAAAACATCATATAGCATCTAGCCCGATGTTAAAAAGAAAAAAAGAGGCGATCATTTAAAAAAAAGCTTTTGTATGAATGGTCATTGAAATAATGATAAATCATTGACAACACTATAAGTTTTGAATATATTTATATATCGAAAGACTATATAATATGTTGACGGTGCGACCGTTGGGGCGAGCGCAGTGATCACTTCATTATTATGATCCGCCTCTTCAAACCGCACGAGACATTTGGAACGTCTAGACTGTGACGTCACATGACGTCGTATGTTAGCTGCATTTCCATAAACAAAGTTTAAAAAGTGCAAATATTTTAACAAAGAACGTTTAATCTACTATCTGCATGCAATATCCATTAACTTAAGGTGAGTTTATTTTGTGTGAATTTTTAGTTGTTGTCACCGCGTGAACGAAGTTAGCAGCGAGAACAAGAAGCGATGCATTGTGGGTCAGAATTACTGCGGAAAAAAATTCTATTGAATGAATGTGCAGTAGTCCGAATTTTCTCTTCGCCCAGGCGTTGTCGTTAGAGCTCGCAGTGACGAGCGGCGCTTCGCGCCGCTCGCTGCGCTCGCTATTACATGTATGTAGTAGGTTTTTCTAATAAATTCATCGGTAAAATTTGTATATATTCCTTACTGAGAGCATCGTGACAACGAACCCGAAGTACAATTTGTACTTCATAATAAACTTGCTTACATGAAATGAGAAAAATCCTCATAACTCTGTACAACTTCCAGTCAAAAGTTTGTATAAAACGAATCTCCAATAAATGTCACATATGTTTTTAAAGACGAAGCAGATATAGTTCCGAGATTTCATATTTTGTATCTACAAATAATTTTGTTTCGGCATGTCAACAGTGCGACGTTATCAAATTTTGCGCGTCATCGATTTGGGTAGAAATCATTCATTATAGTCTCACAGGGGTTATTTCAAAGTTTTGTTAAAAACGAAAATCTTATGATTTGATATTTGCCTTATCCAACTAGCCCCTTCATGATAACTGCGGTACTACTCTTTTGCAGGGCAAATTATTTTTTTGTTGACAGACAATTTAATGACGTACACAAGACATTTACTGTTACGTCATATTTCACCGAAGCATATTATTTTGCCCTTCAAAAGAGCAGTACCGCGGTTATCGTGAAACTGTCTACTCTTTGAAATGGTGTATACTCGGCAAATCTCGCGAATATTCACCATTTCACCGTTGGATAAAGCAAATATCAAATCAAACAATATATAGATATTCTCTCTCTCTCTCTCTCTCTCTCTATATATATATATATAATCAATAAGATGGCTTGTGTTAATGTTGAATGTTTACAATACTTTTACTGATTATGCGTGTTTAAGTTAGCTTTCAGTGTTCAGTTGCTATAGTAGCCCTGTGGGGGTTGTTCATATTTGAACATTTTTGCTGATGGTGCTATACAGTTCTGTCATATTATATGAGCTTCAATAATTATAAAATATAGTAAAATAAAACAACAGTAGATCAAATTTGCTCAGCCCATGAACAGGTGAAGTCACATGCCAAAGAGAAGGCGAATAAAATTCCTGTATTAAAAAAGAAGGTCTCAACATAAAGTTGCCTATCCATTCCTGTATGGTGTAAATAACATTTTAATATATTTTTTTCTTTAATTACTTCTTTTAAATCTATGATATAAAAACAATAAACCAAAACAATAAAAAAAAAACCCTTTGCCATAACAAGAAAATATCATATTAGAGACCTTATACATTTTTGGTCCATCTATCTTTAGACTTTATATCCGTTTGTTAAGTTGACAAATTAAAAAAAGACCAAACACATATTTATCAACCTGCACTTAAAATACAGGCAGTGGAAATAAATTTCTATGTCTCAGCACGTGTCTTCAGAAAGTGTTTAAATACCTCTCCAAATATCTCTTTGATATCTCAATTTTCAAAAAAATTATGCCCAAAAATATACTAAAAATGTGTGAAACACCTTTTTGTGACATTTTGAAAACTCAAATTTTTTTTAAGATCTGTGAAATAAATAATAGTGGTTTATATAAGAAATAAATACTTTTCTGATAATAGTCGAACTTTAAAAGTCGACTGTAGCAACTTTTGTTTGACCAAGTTGTGATCGTTACTGATCCTGAAAAAAAAGTAATACCATGTCAGGAGTGCAACAGAAAAAACATCGATTTTAAATATCTGAGAGACAATTAAGTCAAAATAGAATTTTCAAAGTGTAAAACAATAATTGATATACAATTTAAAACTTAAAAATGTTAGCTAAATTACAAGCGACATTTATGAGAGTCAAGTATCTGTGCATACCCAATAATGTCAGGAGTGGAACATTTGATGTTTTGCTCCCCAGCATGAAAAAACAATTTTCAGTATATGATTCTCTGGTTTTATTTTGATAATAAAGACACAAAGAACATTTTTACCAAATAGATTTATCAATTACAGGGTCTGTCTGTGTTTCAGATCTATATTTCTATGGACAGAAGTGCAACACATTTTTTAAAGGATTCAAGTTATATGATGGAAAGACTTCTATTCATGCTAAGGAATATTCTTTAATTAAAAATGATCTTTATATTAATGCAAAAAGTATTTTGATAGCCCAGTTACCCATTAAATTGCTTATTTCTTTCCAAAATCCTCTCATCACTAGGACACCTTGTCTTATCTTCCTTCAATGAATAAAAAAAACTGTAAAACAGTTTGTCATGTGTTGCCACCTTTGTGACGTTTAATAATTTGTTAGAAATTCTCAAAAGTATTATTAACAATGGCATATAATTTTAGCAGACACAAAATATAAATATGAGAAATAAAACAATTTTGTAAAGGGAGATAATCCAAATTTCCAGTAATTACAACTCAGACTTAACAGGTGTGCAAAACAAATTTTATCAAATTGTCTATTCTATTTCAACATCAGGAAATTTAACTAGAATGCATGTACAATATGATGATATAAGTGAATGATATGTTATGGGTAGTTGAATTTAAAATAAAAATCAATTTGGTGGTCATTAATTTTCGAAACCCTGACATTTGATGAATACAATGACATATCTTTTGGTTCATATATATTTTTTGTCAGATATATATTACCAAAAACATCAGATGTGGATTCTTAAAAAACTCCAAAGAACTTTAAGAAAATTTAAAACCGCCAAATTTTTCAAAAGTCAGTAACATCAAAACGTACGACTTTTCTACACTTTTTCAACCATTCCTCACGATAAATTAAAAACTAGACTTTGTTGTATCAAAGATAACTGCTTCCTCAATAATAATGGAAGTCGTCGGAAATTGTCCTATCTTTTGATTGGTCATCAACAAAATTAATTTGTTGAAAATCACGCTGATTCTACACACAAGTACTCTGAAGTTGATATTAAAAGGATGCCGGAGTTCCTAATTGACAACATTTATGTACCCTGTTGGAATTCCGATGGGAACTAATTTTGCTCCTATATTAACCGAGAGAACATGAGAAGAAAAGACTGTGACCTAAAACTCGACATTTAGATATATCGAAGATCTATTGTCAACTAAGAACAGTTTCTTTCATTGAATTCATTCATATATCGATTCAATATATCCTAGTGAACTTAAAACAAAAAAAAAACCACAGAGTCTGGCACATCTGTTTCATATTTGGATGTTTTACTGATTATAGGCAACAAGGACCAATTAACAACTAAATTGTATGACAAACAAGATGACTTCCACTTTTCCATCGTCAGCTTTCCTTATTATGTAGTAATATCGCGCAGTCCCCTGCGTATGGTGTTTACTTCTCCCAACTTATTTAATACTCAAGAGAATGCTCCGATTAAGAACAATTTTTAAGCCGAGGCATGCTACTGACAGATAAGTTGATGTTACAGGGATTTCAACAACCTCTTTTAAAGTCAGCAATTATTTAATTTTATAATGATCTAATTAGCAAATATAACCTATTTTTGGGTCGTATTTTGGATGACCTGTTTCATACCAATTGTTAGGCTTTTGTTTTATACTGAATTTGACGACGAAATGTTCAATCTACCTGATCGATACATACATGTAGGGCTCAAGGCGGGTAGGACCGGTCAACAGGGGATGCTTATTCCTCCTAGGCACCTGACCCCACCTCTGGAATTTCCAGTGGTCCGTGTTCTATGCCCTCTTCACAGAATTGTATTATTTATAGATTTTTTTGAGATCGATCACTGTTCGTTATCTTCAACGTTTTCATTTTTTCTATATGTTAGTGAAACGTATAATTGCGTGAAAATAAAAAGAAACAGAACAAAAGAGTAGCATTTCTTATCAATATGCATGAAGCTGAAAGATGGTTTGTTGTGTATGGCATGTATATAAGAGAGAAGAAAGAGCATTCACTAAAAAAAATCATGTCTATATGATCTGTACGACCAACAAAATAAACTATACCATATATTCTTCGTCCACTTTGTGTGCAGTTTCATTCACAACAGATGCGTAACATTCCCGCTACATAAAATTTAAATGCCATTCTTGGATCACTGACTGTCTATTATGTTTTTTTATTTCATATCCAACTGTCGTAAAGTATGCACCTTTGGCAGGTGTAATGACAAGGGTAGGCCTGAGATAGTATTATAATTTGGTTTATTTTCATTATGGCTTCTTCCATGGTATAATTACTTTGAATTAAAAGAGCATGGCGGAACTAAAACGTTTTACAACGGTAAGCTCTTAGATTTTAGTTCCTTATTTCAGTTACATGTCATCTTGTTCGTATCAAGGGCGTTGGCCCTTGCATATTGTATCTTTATCCCATAAAAATATAGCTTATGACTAGAATATAATCAGTACAATGGCAAAACTGTATATTATATGGCACGTATGTATGTAGTTACTATTTAGGCAAAATTACATAAAGATTAAAGAAATTTGATACTGTGTCTGTGTCCAATGGATGCATGAAGCGTTGCCGTGTCTGCACAAAGTTCAGTTTCATACTGAAAGCTAACCCGTATATTTCAGTTTGGTGAAGGTGCTTCCGTTCATGTTTATTCAGACGGTAAGGAATATGTTCTGTACGGTGCCCGGGGAGCTAGGCCTCTATCTGTTTACAGCGACAATGGTCAATTACTATTTAAAGATGAACAACAAAGACCACAAAAAGCCACCGATGAAATAACTTATTTTATTGAAGATACAAACGAGAAAACGACATTCATCAACGATTTGCCCACCACAAGTGAAAAAAGCATGGCCTTTTCTAACGAAGCCTTTGTCGAAGATGAATCGGTTTCAGGCCCTTCTACACCTCTGGCTGGATCCCCGGGTAAAGGTTCGTCCTACAGTGGTAGGTTTCAGATATATCATCACACTCATCTTTAACTTGATATTTATACATGTATATGAAATATATTTAATTATATATACAATACACTATTACGAGTAAAGTACAAGTTAGAATTACATGTACACGTTAACATTATTTTCCTTGTTTAGCAATGCATAACCTGTGTGGGATCTTGTTAGTGCTTGAAATGTAGAAATCCTTAACATTAAAAAAAAAAAATAGAAAATACATTAAATTTAATATGTCTTAATAACACATGACATATCTAAAATTGTAAAATCTTCCTTTGATTGTTTTCTTGAGTTTTTGGAATAAAAAGATCTCACAATGATAAAATGGGTGCACTTCAATAAGTGGAGCTCTGACTTTTTCTCTGGTTCCACTTTTTATTATTATTCTTCCTTTTATGCAATAATAAATGCACCATTGTTTTGACACCCATCTCTCAAGTTTATCATAATAAAGTGTAGGTAATAGATTTTAAAAAATGCGCCCCTTATTTTTGCAAGAAAGTCATATGGTATTTTCTAGCGAGATAAAATTTTAACGATTTCTGGTTTTGGATATAATCCTTAATAATAAAAATTTTTCGCGAGAATGAATTTTTTCGAACAGGCAGTCCCGGTTTTTCAGCGAATATAAAGTTCTCGCGAATAAAAAGTGATTTACAGTAATGATCTTTTTTTCTATTGTACTCAGAGGGAGGAAACTAGGTTGTCAGACCTTGTCCGATCCCATTGAAACTTCATGATTAAGTAGTAAATAAAGTATTTTTCAAATATATACATGTACATCTAAAACTTTAAGTATTTTCTGTTCACTAAATGTCTTTTTTTACAGGTTACTCTTATTCAGATTCTGATGGTTTGAAACCGAAACGTTTGTCTTTATCGAACTGTTGTCTCATCTGCATCTGTATCATCGCCATTGTCATTTCTGTGTCCATGATCTGGTATCTTAATGGTGAGTTTTTATTAAAGATACTCTTAAACTCTAAATCAGTTTAGAAGTTAAGAGGAGTGCTCACTCCAAGCACTAACCAAGTATAAATATGGTCGCATTAAATAATAAAAAAGTATAATTCAATGAGAGAAACCCAACTCCTATGAAAATGAATGTGTTCGTGCATGTCACTTCTTTTTAACAGAATTTTTATCTCATCTCGATGAAGTCTTCTAAATCATATGTCAGTTTTGAATATTTTTAATATTCCAAAAACCAACATGAATTTGAATTACCATATCTATATTGGATTCCGAAACTTCATAAAAAACCTTACAAACAAAGATACATAGCGGATTCCAGTAAATGTTCTATCAAGCCTCTTTCTTTACTCCTTACTAAAATATTAACAGTAGTGAAGGAGAAACTTCAGAAGTGCTGTGCAACAATATATTCGAGAAGATATTCAGTAGATCAAGACAAACACGGACCTCTAAAACATCAGAAGTGGAATCAGGTGCCATGGAGGAGTGAGCATCCCCTGTTGACAGGTCACACCAGTCGTCTGCTCTTTGTCATGATCGGGAAATTACGAATAAATCCGTCGACAATTCCGTGTGTAAATAATGCCCTAACAATAAGTATGAAAAACATCAGTCAGCATTTGACTTAATGATAGGTTGTATGTGCTGACAAGGTCATTGTATCGACCATAGAACTGACGACTTTAAATGCGACTGCTGATATTCTTGTTTGATCAACTTGTTTGTCAATAACTTACTTCGTTTTAGAAACTGTTCATACGTAGAGCATGCTCTTGCATATTGAATCAACTAAGAGATATAAACCCCGTATGCAGGTGATGAAGTGATATTGCTGCATAAGTAAGGGAAGTTGACAATTGAAAAGTTAAAGTCTTCACGTTTATCATAGAGCTTGGTTGTTAGATCACCATTAACGTCTTTTTCTAGTAAAATATCCAAATATGAAACAGATGTGTCAGACTCTGTGGTATCTTTTATTTCAATCTCACCGTAATATATCGTATCGACATAAGAATGGAAATAACCATTGTTAATTGACAATACGTCGTCGATATATCTATATGTCGCGTTGAAGACCACAGCAAGTGTGTTCTTCTTTCCATGTTTAAGATTTTGAACAAATTCTGATTCATATGAATACAAAAATGGGTCTGCCGGTAACGGGGCGCAATTGGTACCCATGGAAATTCCAATTGATTGTTGGAAAATCTGGTCTCCAAAACCCACATAAATATTGTCAATCAGAAACTCAAGCATCTTTTTAATATCAAGTTCAGAGTACTTGTGTGTGCAATCAGAATGTTTTTTTAACAAAATAATTTTGCAAATGACCAATGACAAGGTAAGTATATTTACGAGTTCCATTTTTATTGAAAAGGCAGCTGTCTAAATTTTCCAAAAGTTCCTTGGAATTTTAAAGTATCTTCATCTGATTTACACCAAGTTGAACAGGTTGCTATTTATAACTAACCCTACATATAAATGACTTTCGTCGAGTCAAGCTTCGTAATCTTTGATAACCTGTTTTTTTCTTATTTTAACTTATTAAAATTAAAGTTTTGCTTTTACCAACTGTTACTATATTCATATATTTGCTTTCACAGAGGACAAGAAAGGAGACATAAAACCACGTAAGAAACCTTTATCTCATTCAGTGTTTTATAAAATTACCCTTAATGAATGTTTATATTGGCTTATTATTTATTTCAATTTTAAAAGCCTTTTTAGTTATAAAAAATTCTGCGATTATTATCCTCTCTTCTTCTTCTTCTTTTTTTTTTTTTTTTTTTTTTTTTTTTTTTTTTTTTTACTAATTTTACAACTTCTAGTTCATTCAGTGTTACATTCAATGTAATCTTAAGCAATACAGTCCCTGAGTATGCAATTGTAACATATATTAAAATAATTAAAGCACTCAATGAGTCTAAAATTGGAAAGGGTCGTGAGGCCCTTGATCAAAATACTATCTTTTTAGAAACGACAGAGTACGTATTTACTCGACCTCCTCCACAAACACCTAGATCAACGATGATGCGAGGTAAGCTTCAATTATCCTGAAAAACATAGGAGGGAATTGTACTATTCCAATATTTTGTCAAATCTATGATTTATGCGTTTTATAGACTGTCAATCAATAAATTTTAAGACAACATTTTAACAAAAGTTTAATTCACATGACAAAAAGACACCTTAGTTTCAGAATCTACAACACAAACAACTTCCAAAACAACTCAACAGTCTACCAAATCTCCATCAACAACAAAAACAACAACAGAAAGCATGGACACAGAAGAAACAGAGCAATCTACTTCCCTATCGACTTTGGAAACATCAGATGAACCTCGTACAATAAATCTTATAACAAGTACAACCGCATCTACCAATTCAACACAAGGCACTCCTACCAATACCAATTCAACACAAAGCACTCCTACCAATACCAATTCAACACAAGGCACTCCTACCAATACCAATTCAACACAAGGCACTCCTACCAATATCAATTCAACACAAGGCACTCCTACCAATACCAATTCAACACAAGGCACTCCTACCAATACCAATTCAATACAAGGCACTCCTACCAATATCAATTCAACACAAGGCACTCCCACTACTCAAGTGTCCCTCAATACAAATTCAACACAAGGACCTACTACTACTGAAGTGCCTATCAATACAAATTTAACACAAGGCACCCTTTCAACTCAAGTGCCACACCTTTCAACTACAACAACTATCAGTACAGTTGATAAGTTTACTGGTGCAACCACATCAGAATTAAGTGCTTCAACACCTACCACAACAACACAATCTTCTACAAGTACAAAAAACAATGATCTTAGTTCAACTTTAAAAGCCTCAAGTACAGAAACATTTGTATCTACCAGTTCAAAATCAACAAAAGTAAATGATTCTATAACTACGACACAAGTGCCCCCAACAACACCACTGTCTTCATGTACAATAAGTACTGTAACTAACATGACACAAACAACTTCAACTCCAGCCATATCAACAGTGCAACCTTCAACAACAACAGAAGAAAGTGAAACATCTAAAACTACAATTCAAGTGCCTTTGACAACACAATCCTCACATACAAGTACAATAGATTATGTTACTAGTCCAACATCAACAATTTCAACTCAAGCCATCCCAACAATACAATCAACAACAATGCCAAGTACAGATAACCATGTAACTAGTTCAACAACAAAATCTTCAACAGAATCTTCTACTACAATAGCTGCAGAATATACCAGTACAAACTCCGAGTGAAACAATCAAAAGTGATACAACAACTGCTAGCTGTCACAAAGGTTCCTGATAGTTCAAAAACACCATCTACTGCATCTTCAGCATCTGCAACAGAAATCCGAATTTAGAATTACTTAGAGCTATTTTTAGAATATACGTGCCAGTATTATTTAGATAATCAAAGTTTACCATAAGCAGAAACACTCCAAAGATTATTTTCTGTAATGCAGCGCTGTCAAAATACTGGTACGTATGGAACTAGTTCATTTTATCAACAGTCATCATTTAGACTGGCATCTTTTATGATGTCATAAACATAATAATCCATTCAATAATATGATCATCATCATCGTGAAAAACGTGTACATATGTCAGTGTCTGAATATAATCTTTGAAAGGCAGTAGCATTCTATATAGAATATATAGTTTATATATATATATATTTAAATATACATCTCTACATTCTTAATGCGCATTCTTCATTTATATAGTAAATCATTTCTATATTTTACTTTTAATTTAATCTTAAACATTTGTTTTACAAATGAGCATATTCATTCAGATTTGTATATTATTTTGTGAATAGTGCTAGATATATTTCCACAGAATGTTTGCAGCGACCATATTTAGATCAAAATGGACTTATATAATAATAAAAAGAACACAATTCAAAAACACTGATAATAGTGTCCATTGAACAAAGGTTTATATTTAGCAATTCTTATCATTTGATGCAAACAGCAAATTTATGTCCAAATTGGATAAATTTATATCATCAATATGATAAAATGTGGAATAGATTACTATGAAATCAAAGGATATATGTTCAGATGTATAATGACCTAGTGACTGTATATTAGACACATGTATAATAATACTATAATATGGTTATTGGCATGATGTGTTAATAACTTTAATTATCTCTGTGCATTTTTTTTAATAGATCAAGAAAACAATGTAACAAAGAATTTTTATTCAGATTAAATATCTACAAGGTAAAAATTGACAGTATTTGGGTTTCTGCCCTTTACATGTAATTAAAATCACACTATATACTGGGTTGTCAGAGACAAATCATCAAACAAGAAACTGTTGGGACAGAAATAACACAAATATCAATGTTCATTAAATAAAATAAATATATACAGTAAATCTGATTATGCATTTTCCTATAATGCTTTGCAAATCTACACTATATACAGTATAAATTGGATAAAAGATATGTAAAACATAAGTTATATTCAACATTTATCCACAAATCCTGGATATTTTTTGATTTAAAACATATGCCCCTTAATTAGGGAATTCTTCATACAGGACATCCCATAGAGAAGTAAACGTAAATTCACACATAACAGTACATAATGCTCTTGTTGAATGCTTCCTCACTAAATATTGATCATGATACAGTTTTAAAATATTTAAAAGACAGAAGTGAGGTCAAACAGTACTGACATACAGACAAAATACACTTTACATAAGGAAACCATTTTAGTTCTGGGTGTACAAAGTACTTTTTCTGAAAACTTTTTCTGATTATAAGATATTGTCCTTAGAGAATTTCAAATGAAATTTGAAGAATTTTCAGTACAAATTAAAGGACTTGCTCATTTTTTATCATGATAATATTATTCTCCCATATGTGTATCAAATTATTGAAAACAGAAAATCTGACATAATATTGCTTGCTGATACCACGTAAGTGGAATTTTTAAGTAATAAGTATTTTAGCAATTTTATGGTGCAAAGAAAGATAACGGTAACCTCTAATGTGGAATAAATTGTTAGCCATATTTAATTTTAGTGATCTCAACACCCCTGCTAAAACTGCCAAAATTGAATCCTCGCTAAAATTTCTGCTTATACAGTATGACATGAAAAATACCTTTGCAGAATGTCAAATGATTAATTGATTAAAATACAGCTCAGTTAACATCAGTAGTAATGAATATACAACCTTGTTCAAACTCAATGTTTAAATGAAAAGAGGGTTTTTTTTGGTTCCCTATATAACATAATTGTCTGACTGAGATCTTATCAAACGTGTGTGATTCACAGTGTGGGTGGTGAACCTGGAATGTTCAACTTGCATCAAATAATTCTCATATATACAAAGATAACACACAAAAATTTACATCTTAAGCTAGATATCCCAAACACCATTATATTGAAAAGCAGGGATATGTAAATTTAAAACAAGTCTTCAGAGTCAACCACAGAGTTCAAGTCTGTGCTTCAATAAATCGAAAACTTGGATAACTTGACTTTATCAGTCCATCTGAGTACAAGCGACAGATGATTGACTGTACATAAACATCATAAAATGTAAATGAACTTCACAACTCTATATTTACATGTTCTACCTGTCAAATGCAAAAATAATGAACATGCAATGGTATATATTTTGTGAAGGAAATACTCGTCATGACATGAAATACAGATACTTGGTAACAAAAACATAAGAAAGTCATGTGTACTATTACAATACAGCTTTCTGAAATACTTGACAGCCAGTCACATACAATGAATTATCATGAAAGTAAAGATATCAGTCAACCTTCCACTTTGCCTGAAGAAACCGTTATTGCAACATCTTAACTGCCAGATATGTAAAAGTTGATAAAATGATCATTCATTTGCAAAAAAAAAAAAAAAAGCATTATATAATTATGTTTTTCTATCAAATTCACACAGCAGAAAATAAAATATGTGTATCCCAACCTTTAATTTTTAATTAAAAAAAAAAAATGACCGAAAACAGGTAGCAATATTTTTTTTTTAAGAAAACATGTCCAAAAGTGCTCATGCTGTAATGAAATTATAGTAACCTGATAATAAACGCATTCGAATCAACACTATTTCTGCTACTCTAGACAATATATGCAATTCTACCACATAATGATTGGTATGAAACAATAAATATTATGCATTTTAAGTGGATAAATGGAGTGATTGTAAGTAAAGCTTAAAGTCTGTCAAGCACATTAATAATGTACTAAATAAAGCAAAGATTTGCCAGTACTTTTACACATAAAGTTACAGATACAAGACTTGTTGTTATACATTCTAATCCACGAACAAACATTGTCCCACTCCATCTTTTTTTTCATGGATTTTGTTTGACAAATATGAAATCAAACCAGACATCAATTGAAATTTAAACATCAAGAAAGTTGGAAATAATTATGGTAATGGCCAAGATAACTTTATTTTTTTCTTTAAAATCTTAACTATGTAAAGACTTCTGTGAATGAATTTTGCATCCAAAGTACTACTAATGAAATTGACTATTAAATAAAGCATTTTCATATATTAATTATTCCTCTCAACTTACATGGCATAAATGACTAGTAGTAAACCCTGGCAAATTATAATTTGTCTTGTATCCATGGAAAACACAGAAACATGACATCCCTGATTTCATTTATTTTCCCTATAAATCATTCAATCTGAAGTCTCTGATGAGACTGTAGCTATACTGGTTTATATTCATCATTGTCTAAATATTGTGATTGGATATTTTCTAAACTTGTATTTATTCAAATAAGATTAAATGTTCAGGAGATTTGGCATTTTAAAAGAATGTTACAGATGATTCTTTTTAGGTTAACATGGTGACAACATTTATCAAAAATTGAATCAGACCAAAACTGTAGAAGGAAATTGACAGACAGACAAACAGACAGTTAGACGGATTGACAACAGACACTTCACTATTGCAAGAGCTCTTTTGTTTTACTAACAGTAGAGCTAAAACTGTCCAAATAATGACTGTTCCATAATAAATTTACTGAACACTGAAAATTTGGATAAACATGTTCCAATGCAATAAATGAAAACATATTAGGTCTACAGGTTTGTTTTCATTTCGAATCACTACATGTGATTTAGACTATTTCCCTTCATAATACAGAAAGCAGGAATGATATGATGAACAATAAAAAGATTTAAACACTCTGAATACTCTGTGAAAAAATTACAATTTGACTTCTACAAATAAAATCTTTCATAAAAAAGAAATCAAAAATTGCATTTCTGAAACACAATGCCCACTTATCACTGAAAGAATACATACATATTACCTTGCCATACATATTACCATACAATGGCATTAAGACTTGGACCCTGGACTGCATTTTGTACACTTTACAGTAATGAACAATTTTAAAGATGTGGACAGACATACATGTACAGATCAAAATTGATCTGCCTTTAATCTTTGGTCTTAGGGGAATATAAAACCCCATAATGTGTTTTCGGTATAATTTGAACATATCTTAAATCAAATGGCTATAGAATGGGAACTTGTAGTAAAGCAGTGTCTGTATTGCATGGAATCATTTGTGAACATCTATTGGTCAAATTGTTGAAATCTTTCAAAGTTTATAGAGCCACTGTGTCCAACATATTCCATAAGACATCCCATAGCACCAAAGTAGCCCTGCAAAGTAAATAAAAGTCCATTACAATATTAAAAAACTAGTTCTATTTAGAAGAGTTGTGTATTAGCAGTGCAAAATTATTCAAGCATGAGATTTCATTAGAAAATATTTTTCATAAAAATTAATTCAAAGAAGTTGATACATACACTGTAAAGTGAATTTTATGTTATAATCAACATGTAAAGAAGATATTTAAGATTAATATTGATACATGTGCAGTATTTCTAAATCTGTTTATCTTGGAATATTTGTTGACAGTACATTTTGTATTAATATGTCGGATATTGATAGGTACTTGATACTGAAATAAAAGAGTGTTAATAGAGTGGTGGTTCATTTTGTTGTTGTTGTTGACTATCAATAATATGATTTATTACCTCATGTTCCAGAAAGAGTGCTTTCAGAGCTCCATTAGACCAGTAGTCCATGGCATTGGCCAGAAGTTTCATGGAAATTGTGTTTACACGCAAGAAGTTGCCAACAAATACAACTCTCTCCAATCCCTGAAATTAGGAGATTCACAAGATCAAATACAGAGACATAAATGTTATCTGTTAATACACAGTTGTAATTTAAAATTGTCAACCAGTGCAGCAAAGTACTTAAGACACCTGTTTGAGCATACATTCTAGATATGGACCCTATATTATGGTCAATTTGACTCATCTGAGTTTGAATGCACATTCTGGCTACTGGTTAATGTGACTCATCTGAGTTTGAGTATACAGCTATGGACCTCATATCATTGGTCAATGTGACTCACTTGAGTTTGAGCACACATTCTAGCTACAGACCTTATATTAGTCAATGTGACTCACCTGAGTTTGAATGCATATTTTAGCCATTGGTTAATGTGATTCACCTGAGTTTGAGCACACATTCTAGCTATGGACCCTATATTATTGGTCAGTTTAACTCATCTGAGTTTGAGCACACATTCTAGATATGGACCTTATATTATTGGTCAAAGTGACTCACCTGAGTTTGAGCACATATACTAGCTATAGACCCAATATTAGTCAATATGACTTATCTGAGTTTGAATACATATTCCAGCCATTGGTTAATGTGACTCACCTGAGTTTGAGCACACATTCTAGCTATGGACCCTATATTATTGGTCAATGTGGTCAGAGTTGCTCGTGCTAGATCCTCTTTGCTAGCTTTCTCCCTTTTCTCTGCTTGATTCATGTGGCCAAAGCTAGGCAATAAATTTCAAAATAAATTACTTACAAAAACTCTAATAAAAAGGTGTTTAAAACTAAAAATGCCTAATAGAAGGAAAGTTAAACTCCAAGAGACATTCAATAATCAAATTTTTTGGTAATTTAACAGAACAAAAAATAAAAATTCTTTGTCATTTATGATTTTAAAAGGGAAGACAAACCAAACACTCACCTGCTGGCAACTATGTCTCCAGTAAGCTTAAATTTCTCATAATCTCCACCATAGATATCCTTCACAAGTTTGTCCACTTTCTTATTGTCCCCTTGGGATGCAAGTTCTATTGCCTCCTCAAATGTTTGGCACCCAGTTAGTAAACAGCATAACCCCAGAAATGTACCCCCTCCAAGACTGTTAAAAACAAAGTTAAATCATCTCAATCATAAACATCATTGCCATCATCCATTTAAGAAAACAAATAACGACATAAGCACAGAACAAAAAAAATTGCAAAATAAATGCATCATTATCAGTCATAATACAGTGGTTTCATTTTATTCAATGGAGCTCTTTTTATTTATGTTTTCTAAAATTTCATAGGATCCTGTGGACATATCTTCATGGACACACATTTTTTTTAATAGAAAAAAAAATTGCACTTGAATGTCAATATTTATTGAGGTAATAAATTTATAGGTAGGGGGCAACCCAAAAAATCCAAGGAAAAAAAAACAATGAAAAACTAATGATTCCACATTATCTACATATGTAGATGTACTGTAATCACTAACCTTGTCCCACTGACCCTTTGGTAATTGTTTGGTCCATGAACACTTAAGATGCTGACCCCTGATCCTATATTAACTACCAAGTAAGGATAAGGGTCTTTGAAATCAAATGGGACTTTCTGGCATTTGTCTGGATCTTCTGGATTTTTATAATAGTAACACTCTTTTTCGTTGTGTCTGTCGATGTAGTGGATTCCTTTTAGCAGACAGTCAAGTTCATCAAACTTATGAAGATGAAGGTTCACAGCCTGAAAAAGAATTATATATATATCTGTCTTACCAGAGAGAAAGTCCATATGTATAAACATGATAAATCTTAAATATATTCATGCTTTCACCTGTGGTTTATATAAAAACTTAGTTTACAAACAAGTGAAATATAATGGTGCACAAAGTAGTGCAAATATTTTAATATACAGCAATAATAACTATATATTTAATGTTACCTTAACAAAATCTTGCTCAAATTTGTATGCTCCCCCTCCTGTTGCACAAATCTCTGTGACTAAAGTGTTGAAATGTTTAGCTTTGCACAACTCTATGAACCCCTCCATGTTACTGGTAGGAAATCGTATAAAATGCAGACTTCCTCTCCGACCTCCTATCAATTGGTCCTTCATTTCTAAATGAACATCTCGTATCCCTGAGGTTCCATAAGCAGTGTTTCCAACTAAATACTTTCTAATGATTTTAGCTGTCTCTTTTTCCTGTTCTTCTTCTAGTTCTGTAAAATCTTTTGGCTCAAAGTAAATAAGCTTTGTTAGTGTACCACCAATATCTAAACCAAACCAGGGCATACCTAGAAAATTCAACAAAATATACAATGATAATATATAAAATAATACATATTTTATTCTGATGCAATGGTTTTAGAGATTATTTTTTTATTAAATGAATCCATTTTTATTTTAAACATTTTACTCCCTTTAACAAAATTTAAAATTAAATGTGTATGTGTGTGTGTGTGTGTGTGTGTGTACTGGCACTGATTACTTACATGGTTTGGGTCTGTCTTTTGGACTAAGGAGATCATAGTCAATTTCGCCGTTCAATACACATTCCACAGTTAAAGGAGTACGAATTGATCCGTCATTTTCCTCAGACTCCATTATTTTTCTTGCAATCAATCCGTCTTACAGTATAAAATCATATCGTTTAGATAAAATTTATTCTGATTTAGTGTTTTCCAAAGGTCATCCGATGAAAGTAGCTACTACATCCGTTTGATAATTCCTTGCTGTCTGATCGTGAAACGGAACAGCTTAATCCAGCGTTGGTGAAGATTAATGAATAGTTCTAGTATATGCCTTGCATATCAGGGTAATAAAATAACTGAAGTCTTGAATTTTGTTGTGCTGACATAAAAAAAAATATGCTTTTCTAGAACGCAGGAAATACAATTTGCTCTGAACTTGCCTGAATTGTACGGGCAAACTAAATTATTCCGGAGTACACAAGGCAACATGACCGATCTGGCTTCACCGATGGAAACTGTGACAATTCAGGAGGAGATCTCAACCTTGTGTGAGAGTGATTCTATTCCCTCTGATGTATTAGTTCAGAGGCAGCTTCAGGACATCATACTTACTCAAAAGTCAGTCATAGAAAGATTAAGCGAAGATGTAAGTCATGTTTTGTTTACCATGTTTACTGTCCGAATTTTCTCAGTACATTTGAACGCAGATTTACTTCTGAACTGAATGAAATGATACTGTGAAGATTTATGGAATAAAATCGCATAAGGATGCAATTTAGACAGATAGCAATCTATTTATTTGGTAAAGTTTTGCATTTCTTTTACTTTATGCGATCAGAGTTGCTTCTCAACTACATATATCATGCATTAGGTCTATACATCACTGTTCCTTTGTAGGTTTCACTGCAGGAGACATCACTTAGAGAGAGCTTTCTGTCTAGAGACACATATGAAGAGGACCTTCGAAAACTTGAGGTGATGATTAGCAATTAAAATTTAGGGGAGTGTTAGTTTGGCTGCATGGTTAATGTTAGTTTAGACTAGAGTTAACATGTAGAGATCAGGCACCTTGGTTCAAATCCTTGTCTGATCTATCACATTTCTCTCTTCATATTACATTTTATTGCCATACTATGTCATGGAAGTGAAAGGTAAAAGAAGAAGCCTGGGTTCCTGTCTTCTGGAGCAATGAATGAGAGTAATGTTGTTAGCCCGGTTTGTTTGATAGGTAGATAGGTGTCTTGGTCCAACAACACCTCAGCCCATCACATCTGACACCTCGGCCCTGACAGGTCGGCCCAAGATTATTGACACATTGGACCATTTAAAAGACACCTCGGCCCAAGCAAAATTTCATAGACTGGTCTGTCCAGGAATTAATTAATATATATTAAACGGGGGAAAATGAACGGGGGTGTATGCATGTCTATGATAGATAAAGCATTCCATATTTCTCTAAGTCAGATCAGAACATTTATTTCTTGTGGAAAATGCCCAATTAGGCCAATATCTGCACTTCAGTAAGACTAAATTTCAACACAAGTCTTTCTTATGATTTAATATTTATTTTTTTTTTTTTACAAACATCAAAGGGACTGGGGGTATGATAATTGTCAGTTTCATTCCTCTAACCTCTAAATCAGATCATATCAGATCAGTCTTTAACTTATACATCACAACATAGAAAAGAGGGATTTCTATGTAGAATGTGGTTTAAAAAAATATCATATTTAGAAACTCAAGAATAATATAGCAACCAGAATCTGTTAAAATTATTTTAAAAAAAAAAAAAAAAAAAAAAAAACGTGAAGAAAAAACCATAAGCACCCTTTTCTCATTGGACAAGTGTCTCTGAAGGTTGACTGGTCTGATCACAAAATGAACTGGACACGGACAATCAGACAAATGTTATTAATATTGAGTCCTGATCTTTCAAGGAAGATTCAATTTAATTTTACAGGTACTATATAATAACTAATTTTGTTTCAGCGATCTGTTCAAGAAGATTATGTACACAAAGAAGATTATATACAGCTCGAGTCTCAACTAGAGGTACATGTATTAAATCTCTAAATTTTGCAGTCAAATACTAGTTCTTGTGTAATTATGGAAAAAGAAACTAGTTTTTTATGCTCAGCTCTGTCAGTGGACATGGTCTAGGTGTGATTTCTCTTTTATCGAAAGATTTTCATTTATTTGTATAAAAAGGAAGAAAGAAAAGAGCATGCCAAGACTCGGACAGAACTCAATGAAGTCACAGATCGATTGGAATTTGCTTTGGGAGAAATTGAAATTTTAACCAAACAGTTGGCTAGGGAAAAAGAGGCATTCCAAAGAGCGTAAGAGACTTTCATGTTTACAAAGTACTTGAATATATAAAATTTATTTCAGATCTTTCTCCTGCATTTCTGATTTTTTTTAATGTTTAAAACAATTCCAACTGATGGAACAGACTTATGCAGGCAATAAATTGAAAAGCAAGCAATCATAAATGTCAAAAGGTCCGAAGACGCTTTATGACAATTGTCAGTGGGTTAACAGGTGTTTGAATGTAAGTGCTAAGAGCACTGGCCCTGCATGATATGCCAGTACCCTGGGTTCGAGTGCTGGTTTTAATTGAGACTCGATTTTTCACCACATGGGACACAAGTTTACAGTGAAGACTCTTGGGTAATACTGAAAAAATCAAGATGATGTAAGCCCAATCTCTTGATCACAGTAAAAGTTGTGTGAACTTACAACATGTAGTGTACTCCTTGAAATTTGACCTAACTTTTCCTTAAAATGTTAAAACTTCCTACAGAATATGCATCCTATGTCACTGTTTGTCAATTAGTGAAAAATATTCTTTTCCAGATTTGGTGATGTAAGATCTAAAGCTATGAAAGAAACCTCAAAGAACATCAAATTAGAATCAAAGTGTTCAGGTAAATAGAATAATGTTCAGATAAAAGAGTGTTACATTAAAATGAAAGATGGAAGCACATGAGAATTGAACCAGTTGGGAAATAGGGAGGTTTGAAAAATTTTGCACATAGAAGTGATCTATGGTCAAATTTTGTGTTTACATTCTGTAATAACCAGTAACCTGTAAAATTATTGTATGGGCTATTCTTTATTAAAGTCCTACCTAAAGTTCCAAGTTATCTCATTCAAAGCAATTTTCACAAAATTATTGATATCTCATCAAAACTTGTAGACTTTGGAACATTGCTAAAAATCAAAGGTGCCTGTAATTTTACTAAATACTGTAAATCACTTTTTATTTGTGATACCTTTATTTTCGCATACCATAATTACACAACATAGTGTGCTTGCAAAAATTTCTTTCTCATATATATTTCTTCTATTAAAAACTATATAGAACAATAACCAAAATTTGTGACAATTTTGATTCACCTATAAATATCAAGTAACAATCTCAGGAAAATAAGGTGTCTTGAAAATTTAGTGATATACAGTACATGCACTGTGGTTTTATCATTTTTTGAGGATCACCAATTTCATTGTGTTTTTAATGGTTGAGTCAGACCATGAACTTAAGTGATAATGAAAATTTACTAAATAAGAATAGGACAAAGTAACTGTTCACAAATTTACATATAAATGAAATTGTAGTATTTTTTTTCAAAACCATGAAGCTTGATACCCATAAAAATTAATGAAACCACAGCAAAAGGACATTAAAAAAATGATTTACACATACAACATGCAAATGTGACATTAAATTACATTAAATAACATTTTGCACAGAAATAAGTAAAAAGGTGGAACATCAAGAACAAGATTTGAACAAGAAGAAAGAGGCATTACAGAAACTAGAGAAAAAGTTACGAGAGAAAGAAATCGAGCACAAAAAACAGCTGACGGAAGTGGAGATCGAGAGGAAGCAGGAACAGTATATCAACCGACTGATGGAGGAACAAGACCAGAAAAAGAAAACACGAGATCGACTGCTCGCTGTCCCAAAAACCAAGAGATGATGACTATATTTTCAGCTCATATTAGTGCCTACAATCAAAACAAGAAAGTAAAAGGGTAGATCCTAGTCCGTCCATAATGATTTACTGCAGTAGAATGTGTGCAGTATTAATGTATTGAAGTAAATACTTATTTACTTTTATATCTACTTTGCACTATGCAGATAGAAAACGTATATTTTTCAGAATACATAGATTTAAATGTATTTTGAAATACTTTATCATACCATATACATATGTTTATGTACAACCAACCAGGTAAATGTACTGTGTTAAATAAGTAAATTCCTCAAGATTGTTGTTATCTTAGTAGATAAACTAGATCCATGTAATATGGACTGTTAATAGTTAATGTGATTTTTGATATTGTGTAATGCTGAGGTTATCTTGCATTTTTATACTTATTTTAAATTTTAGACAGAAAAAATAATTTTACATACAATTGCAATTTTTTGTCAATACTAACCATACACTTGTACCAGTAAAATCAGGGGTTTCACCCTCATAACCTCATTGCTTCTCTTATGTCCTCTGAACTATTTCCTTATTTGGTTATCACTGGCTCAGAAGGCTTAGCTTGTATTTAAATTATATCAATGTATTAAAGAAAAGGGATAGAGGCCAGAATTGAGAGAGAAGGCATTTCTTTAATATATACTAGTATTATATGTATATATATAAAGAGAGAGAGGGAGAGCCAGGTAGGTTCATAGAAAAGGGTTGGACACTGATACTCTTTATCCGTACCATACAAAGTTACTGTAGTTTTGAAATTAGGGGTAAAAAAACCACTTCATGCATTCAGTGTATTTTGAGAAAAGGATTAAATACCTCAGGTTTTGGCATTAAATGAAGAGGTACATGTATGTTACTTGAAATTTTGAAACAACCACTAGGTACAGTACAGATACCGAGTACTGGTGTCCAACCCTAGGTGTGTATTAGGCTTAGTGGATGATAACTGCCCTGAAAGCAGGTACATTTAATTATGAATCCAATCTGTTGGATTACAAGGAGCTACACCTCTTGTGCAAATTATCAAGCTATCTTTGGTCAGTTATGGGTGAAATGAAAAAAAAGACCAAATACATATTTATCAACCTGCACAAAAATACAGGCAATGGGAATAAATTTTTATGTCTCGGCATATGTCTTTAGATAGTGTCTAAATACCTGCCAAATATCTCTTTGATATCTCGATTCACAAAAAAGTTATGCCCAAATATGAGGCTAAAAATGTCAGGAATTGAACACCTTTTTGTGACATTTTGAAAATTCAATATTTTTTGAAGATCTGTGAAATAAATAATATTGGTTTAATATGTTGGAAATAAAGACTTTCCTGATAATATTCAAAGTATTAGGTTTTAAATGTAGACTGTATCAACTTTTGTTTGACCAAGTTGTGGTCATGGCTGATGTTGAAAAAAAAATATACCATGAAGGGTGCAACAGATAAAATGTAGTGTTGCCAAAAATCTGAAAGACAATTAAGTCAAAAAAGAATTTTCAAAGTGTAAAACAATAACTGAACAATTCAAAAATTAAAAATGTTATATCAAGCAGCATTAATGAGAGCCAAGTATCTGTGCATACCCAATAATGTCAGGAGTGCAACATTTTATGTTTTGCTCCCCAGCGTGGAAACACTTTATCAGTATATGATTCTCTGATTTTTATTTTGGAAATAAAGACACAAAGAACATTTTACCAAATAGATTTATCAATTACAGGGTTTGTGTGTTTCAGATCTACATTTCTATGGTCAGGAGTGCAACACATTTTTTCAAAGATTCAAGATATATGATAAAAAGACTTCTATTCATGCTAAGAAATATTCTTTAATTAAACAGTTTTTTCAATAAAATCCTTTTCTTTTTCAATTTTATCAGTTCATGCAGGTGTGTTTTTATCTTTTCTTTTATTTTTTTATGAATGTAAAAAATAAACACACTGGAAAATTGTTAAAAAATTCAAGTAATTCAACCTCAACTTCACTGAAACAACAGAACTAGTTATTATGTAATTTTTCCTTCACAATTCTACTTTAAAGATTCCCATGCTCTTGGTCAGGAGTACAACAAATATGTTAGAATTATTGCTGATCAAATATGAACAAAAATAAAGAAACAATCGAAGAGTAGAATGTTTTTGGTTGACATCAGTTGCTCTCAGTGTTTGTTCTGTGAAGGAAAATATACTATAAAATATATTTTATCTTCTTAATATATATTTTAGCTAGTTTTTTTTAATTAAATAGGGAATAATTCAAGTTATAAAGCCAAGTTTAAATACTTTCATGTGTTTTAATTATGAAGAATTGGACAATATATATTGCACAATTTCGTTACCACTTATAATGTAAAATAACCACATAAATTAACACAAATAATGTAAAAATGAAAAAAATAATCAAAAATCAAGGTTTTTTTAACATATACAAGAGAAGAAACTCAATCAAGGTTAAGATCTAATCATTTACATCACTGATATCATTTTGAAGGATAAAAAACCATAATTTCCTTTGATTATGTATTTTAGAAAGTCTTTTAGGATGTGGTGATGTTTTCTCTTTTCAAATAAAGTGTAATTTTACTAATAAAAATCCTGAAACTTTTTATGCAATTGTATTTTCTATTGCAACTTCAGGAACTTTAACTAGAATACATGTACATTATGATGGTATGTGATGAATATGTTATGGATAGTTGAATTTTTTCCAAAAAAATTCAATTTGATGGTCATCATTTTTTAATTCGATCACCCTTACCTCATATGATCCAAAAAGTGGAAATGCTTGTTCCTTTGATATTTATTCTTTCATTTGATTATGCTCATAATAGTGTATACGTAATGCAAAGAAAGGAAAGAAGAGAAGATGGATGATGCTGTGGTTGCAGCTAGTTCCTAGATGTCACCAGGACATTAAATCTGCACATATAAGAAGAAAAAGACAAGTGTTAGCTATACTATAAAATAAATGTATTAGGTATGCCCTAACCCCTATCATTTTTATTAGTTTATATGTGTTTTTTTTTTCTTTGTTAGCTCAACTTAGCCAAAGGCTCAATTGAGCTTTTCTGATCGAAATTTGTCCAATGACTGTCCTTGTTGTTGTCGTCGTAAATCTTTCACATTTTCATCTTCTCAAGAACCACTGGACCAATTTCACCCAAACTTGGCACAGAGTATGGTGGGGTGAAGAGAATTCAATTTTGAATGCAAGGTCACACCCTCTTTCAAGGGGAGATAATTAAGAAAAAAGTGAAAATTGGGTGGGATTATTTAAAAATCTTCTCAAGAACCACTGGGCCAGAAAGATGAAACTTATGTGAAAGCTTCCTGACATAGTGTAGATTTAAGTTTCCTCAAATCGTGATCCCCTAAGATTACGGTAGGGTGGGTCCACTTTGGGTGATCAGAGTTTTAAATGGGAAAACATAGGAAAAATATTTAAAAATCTTCTCAGGAAATGCAAAACCATGATTAATCATATTTATATGGAAGCATCCACAAGTAGTGTTGATTCAAGTTTGTTCAAATCTTTACCTCCTGTGGTAGGGCGGGGCTACAAAGGGCGATCAAAGTTTTACATAAGAATGTGTAGTGAATAAAAAAAGCAGTAGGACCATAGTGAATCAGGAGAGCGTTATAACCCACGGGTCTCTTGTTTAGCTCTTCTGAGACGTAGGCTCATATTAAGAGCTTATGTTATGGTCTGATGTGAGGTGTGCATAAACATTCTGGAATGTGGGCCACGTACCAAGAACCCCTTGTCAATTTCTGCCTAATTTGTCAAAGATTATTCTTGGGCCAAAGGCTTTCATTTTTAGCTCACCTGAGCCGAAGGCTCAAGTGAGCTTTTCTGATCGAAATTTGTCCGTTGTCTGTCGTCGTCGTTGTCGTCGTCGTTGTCGTTAACTTTTCACATTTTCATCTTCTTCTCAAGAACCACTGGGCCAATTTCACCCAAACTTGCCACAAAGTATCCTTGGGTAAAGGGGATTCAAGTTTGTTCAAATGAAGGGCCACACCTTATTCCAAGGGGAGATAATTTTGAATTCGTGAAAAATTAATGGCATCATTTAAAAATCTTCTTCTCAAGAACCAATGGGCTTGAAAATATGAAACTTATATGGAAGCATCCTCAGGTAGTGTAGATTCAAGTTTGTTCAAATCATGATCCCCGGGGGAAGGGTGGGACCACAATGGGAGATCAGAGTTTTACATAGGAATATACAGGAAAAATCTTTAAAAATCTTCTTCTCAAGAACAGTAAAGCCATGATTGGTCATATTTATGTGGAAGCATTCATAGGTAGTGTAGATTCAAGTTTGTTCAAATCATGACCCCCGGGGGTAGGGTGAGGCCACAATGGGAGATCAAAGTTTTACATAGGAAAATACAGGGAAAATCTTTAAAAATCTTCTTCTCAAGAACAGTAAAGCCATGATTGGTTATATGTATATGGAAGTATCTTCAGGTAGTGTAGATTCAAGTTTGTTCAAATCATGACCCCCGGGGGTAGGACGGGGCCACAATGGGCTATCAAGGTTTTACATAGGAATACATAGGAAAAAAATCTTTAAAAATTTTCTTTTCAAGAACAGCAAAGCCACAATTAGTCATATTTAAATGGAAGCATCCTCAGGTAATGTAGGCTCAAATTTTGTTCAAATCATGAACCCCCAGGAGAACAGAGGGGCCATAACAGGGGATCATAGTCAAACAAAGGAATACAAATGATATATATCAATTAAAATTGTCTTCTTAAGAACAGCAAAGCCATTATTTGTCATATTAATTCAAAAGCATCCCTATGATGTATAAATTCAAATTAGTTCAAATCAGCACCCTCCACCCCCCACCCCCGCGAACCGCTTTTATATCAAAACTTTTCAAGACTGAACTGCTTTCTGCTTTTTCCTAGCCAGAGTGCTCAGGTGAGCGATTTGGCCCCTGGTCCTCTTGTTACAAAAAAGTTATGCGACATTAAAACAAGGGGAGATAATCAGGAAAGTGTAAACTGAAGCAGTGGTTACAAAACAAAATCTGATGAAGAACCACTGGGCAGATGATCACTAAACTTAAGGATGATATCTTGTAGATTAGAAATTGTTCAAGGCATCAACACATGGCAAAGGGCCTGGTTTCAAGGTCACTTCAAAATTATCTAAAATGATATTTTGTTAGAACTTTGATATTTTGCCTAATATGAGGACTAGTTTACAAAACATATCTTTGACACTGAATTCTAGGATCATCAAATCTTGTCAGTTGATGCATCTTAGGGCCTCGGAGTGTGTCAATGCAAAACCAGTTCACAGAGACTTGCTTTCTGAATTTTATGACAATTCCATTTCAAAATATTTAGCTAAATATTTCAGATGTAAAGGGGTTCAGTTGCATTAAACCCAGTAAGTTGCTGCGTCTTGGTGTCCCTGGACTTGCCAATTCTGACTTACGTCACAGAGACACTGTTCTGCAATATAACAGAAAAGCGATTCTAGGTCCTTGGGCCTCTTGTTGTATTTGGCAATATTAACTCATACACCCTACTCCACTGATAAATATTAATTAATCCTTAGGTGTAGATTTCACTATTCTTTCAGTGGATCCAAGCTTTGGATATAATTTAATATTTAGCATTATGTTCCCCACTGACAAATATCGATTCCAAGGAATAGATTTAACATTTTTTTCGATTGAAACTTATATTTGGCAATATTCCCCATTGACAAATGTCAATCCCTAGGTATAGATTTAACACCCTTTTTCAGTTATTGCACGTTTTAGAATTGAATTTAAGACATTCCCACAAGTACATATATGAAAGAAAAGTTATAGTTAACTTATACTTTAACTTATAGTTAAAGTAAAGTAATATTAAAGCGTTCTTGTTAAGTTTGCATGGTGAAGTTTACACTAATTAAAACACTAAAAACAAAAGTAAATGTGAACTTTTGTGCGTCAATTTTACAATAAACAGTACCATCTTAACCAAAGGTTATAGTAAGAGTTAGAACACCAGTAAGAATTACATTCCGTGTCAATGTTTTAAGACTCCATGTTATAAGTAGTCCGTAAAATATTTTTTAAAAAAACCTTCATGAATGTATAACTTCCCAATTAAAAAAGAGAGTTGGCAAAGAAAACACTATATGACCAGGCCCGTAGGAAGCAATTATTTCACTTTGAGGGGGCACAACCATACATTTATACAAATTGTATTTCTTCCTTTGAGCACATTTATCAGTGACCCAATGAATTCACATTTCAATAAGAATAAAATTGATTTCATTTGAAAAGACATCAAGTACTCAATTAATGAAAAAGTACTGGAATTTCAAAAGAATATGTCTGCTCTTTCATTTTGAATTTCTCTGTAATCTTGATGACACTTGATAAAAATGTTCATTAAGACTTAACATGATACTTCCTTATAAATAATCAGTACCTAAGAAGGAACCTAAACGTTAACCTGCCTATCAATCGTAACTCATACAAAGATTTTTTGATACTGCAACGAGGGTAGACCAAAACTTCCAGAGGCTACGGGATAGAAAACACACATAACACCGAGCTGAGTAAACATTAGATTCTTTTATCAAGTTTTTTGTCGCCCTCTTGGCGCAGTGGTTAGGGCGTCTGCTCTAGAGTCGCGGAGTAAGGAGCTGATCCTTACGTCGTGGGTTCGAATCCCTCTGCAACGTGGAGACTGGTCCTTCGGATGAGACCATATAAACCGAGGTCCCGTGTCGCAGTAGGTGCTGGCACGAAAAAGATCCCTCACTGCTCAATGGCCCTGATTGACGAGTATAGGTCAAAATTTGTAGCCCTCCACCGGCAAATGGTGGTGTCTCCATATGAGTGAAAAAATCTCGAGAAGGACGTTAAACAACAAAAGAACAATCAATCAATATTTTTTTTTTTATTTTGTAGTGCTTTACTTAAAGGCACTTGTGTTTGGCTCATGATATAAAAAATATTATTATACTATTGGGTAAGCAATTTATCCCACGAACAAGTGCCTGTGGCTTTACTCCTTTTTAGCTCATCTGAGCAGAAGGCTCAAGTGAGCTTTTCTGATCGAAATTTGTCCGTTGTCTATCGTTGTCGTTTCGTTGTTGTAAACTTTTCACATTTTCATCTTGAAATTCTTCTCCGGAACCACTAGACCAATTTCACCCAAACTTGGCACAGAGATTCCTTGGGTAAAGGGGATTAAATTTTTGTTCAAATGAAGGGCCACATCCTCTTCCAAGGGGGAGATGGTTAAGAAAAAGTGAAAATTGTGTGGGGTCATTTAAAAATCTTCTTAACAAAAACCACTGGGCCAGAAAAGATGAAACTTATGTGAAAGTTTTCTGACATAGTGTAGATTCAAATTTGTTCAGATCATGACCCCTTGGGGTAGGATGGGACCAATATGGGCGATCAAAGCTTTACATAGGAATACATGCGGAAATCTCTAAATTCTTTTTCTCAATAACAGCAAGGTCATGATTAGTCGCATTTAGTTGGGATTACCCTAAAGAGGCCGGTGTAGATACAAGTATATTTAAATCATGACCCCCGGCTGAAGGGTGGGGCTATTATAGGCGATCAAAGTTTTACAAAGGAAAAATCTTTAATATTCTTTTTTCTCAATAACAGCATGGTCCTGATTAGTCATATTTAGTTGGAAGCATCGTCAGGTAGTGTAGATTTATGTTTTTTTTTTCAAATCCCAACACCTGCGATAGGGTGGGGCCACAATGGGCGATCAAAATTTTACATGAGTATAAATAGAAGAAATCTTGAAAAAATCTTTTTCTCAAGAACAGCAAAGTCATGATTATTATTATTATTATTATTATGTGGAAACATTTAAATACTTGTTATGTAGGTTCAGATTTGTTCAAATCCTGACCCCGGGCATTATGGTGCGGACACTACGGGTGATCGAAGTTATACATGCGTGGAAAAAAGGAAAATTCTTTAAAATTCTTCTTTTCAAGAACAGCAAAGTCATGATTATTGATTAGTCATATTTATATGGAAGCGTCCTCAGATAGTGTCCAAATCATGACCCCCGGGGTTTGGGTGGGGCCATTTTTGTCTTTCGGCGATCAAAATTTTAAATTGGATTACCTAGGAAAAATCTTTAAAATTTTTCTTTTCAAGAACAACAATGTTATGATTAATCATATTTATATGGAAGCATACTGAGATAGTGTTGATTTAATTTTGTTCAAATCATGACCTGGGAGAGTTTGGTGGGGCCACTAAGGACGACCAACGTTTTTCAAAGGAGTACATCGGGAAAATCTTCAAAATTCTTTTCCTCAAGAACAGCAAAACTATGATAAGTTATATTTATACCGAAGCATCTTCAGGTAGTGTAGATTCTAATTCGATCAAATCATGACCCAGGGATAGGATGGGACTACAAAGGCCAATCCAAAGTTTTGAATAAGAGTAAATAGGAAAATTTTTTTAAAGTCTTTTTTTTACAGAACAGCAAAACCATGATTAGTCATATATATGGAAACATCTTCAGATTCAACCTTGTTCAAATCATGACACCTGAAGAGGAAAGAGTATGGCTAAGGGTAGAGCGGGACCATAATATATTATCTTAATTTTACATAGGAATATATTTGGAAATTCTGCTGATAAAAAACAGAAGGGTCAAGTTACTCAGGTGAGCGTTGTAGCCCACGGGACTCTTGTTCATTTTCCCTTTGGTTGTCTCAAGCTGCAGAACAAATAAACCGCTAAAATTAGTGCGTAATGCAATAAAAAATGTGCCTTCAGAAAGTTAGATTTGTTATGTTTGTAAATAATGTTTGTAATAATTTTATTCGTTAAATTATTTCAAATTATTCTTCGATCTTCCATATGAAAATGCACTCATAATGTTTGAATGTCTTTGTTCTTGTTTCTTTTGTGTATTACAAATCAGTAGACCCGATTCGGATTATATAGCGATGACGTGGCCTTGTTGACATTCTGAATTACATGGAGGTACAAATACAAAATATGAAAACATAAGTCAATTTTATTTTTCAAAATGTTTTGAAGATTTATTTTTAATGGACCTGGCGACTGGAAACTATAATCTTTATGTAGTAAGGACTGATCTCAGGTCCTTAAGTGGTTACCCTGGATACTCAGCATGTCCTCAAACAACCCTCGGTAGAATGAATTTTCCGTTGGGCCCACACGTTTGGTAAGTTAATAAATGATTATGTTATAGCATATCATTATTTGTGTACTCTTCTTTCGTAAGGATTATGGTAAACATTTTTTTTTTTAGAAAATTAAATAATATTCGTTGAAAATTACAATTTTCCTTTCTTTCAACCATAAAATTACGATATTTCTAAATTTGCCAAATTCAGATTAAATCTTCTTTCTCAGCCATGACTTTCTCTGCCTCGGTTTTCTCTGTCTTTTCCTCAGTTTGCCTCTCCGGGCTTTCGGTTTTCTTCCTCCTTTGTTGTTTTTTCTTTTCCGTTGTCTTCTATTTTTTCTTTTTCGGAAAAAGCGTTTCAACTTCTTGAAAGTTTTCTTTATCTTTTTCTTAATTTTTTTAATGAATTTCCTTAGACTTCGTTTCTTTTCTGCTCCCTCTCCTTCTATCGGTAGTAAACAATAATATTGATTAATATAGCTCTCGATAGTGGTATTTAAGTATAACATATTCAACATCTAACCATCATAAAATATTGAATTTTCCTAACAACAGGATCATATGATATTAATACAAATGTATGACACATATTTGCAAAGTTGCTTAATAACACTAAAGGTATAAATAATTAAATTCTTAGTTGCCAGTATTGAAAATAATGTCGAATTTTAAGAAGTAAACGTATTTAAATAAATCGTATTTAAATACTTATTTCTTTCTACTATCATGAAATTTGTCATTTATCACATTTATCACAATAGCAAAATGATGTCACATTACCCTACCTGTGACACAGATTTCAGCAACTCTATCTTCCAATACGCTGTAAACACAGTCACAGTCGCCGCCCCCACAGCTCGTACATTCAAAAGCATCCCTTACTGAAAAATATGAATAAATACGAAGGTTGTCCATAGAGTTCGTAGACAAATACTATAATTTTTGTAATAATGACAACACTGTAAAACAAATAGGATAATATTTTTAATATGGACCATGATTTACGAGGGTTGTCCGGTAAAATCGTGGACAAGTAGTCTAAGAGTGAAAAGTAATCAACACTGCTTTCTACAATTTTTCCTACTCTTTAGTACGTTTTTCATCAACATACATAGCAAATCTCACAGAGTTATCTGCTCAAATAAAGGAATTATGGGATTTTATGTTATGTGTGGTATCGCTTTACGGCGCACGGATGATAACGTCAAAATGTCTAAAGCACCGTCACGTTCATCTTTGCTTTAAAAGGTTGGATAAGCCCCACATAAATTCCGGGAATTTTACAAATGCACACACTCGAGTTCTCCTTTATCCCCCCCCCAAAAAAAAAATCAAACAAACAAACAAAGAATCGAAGGACCAATGCAGCACACACATGGGCCCTTATGAAAATTTGTATGGGGGGGAGGGGGAGGGACTCTCACTGATCTAAATAGCTATAGGCAGTCTCTTTACGACGGTCTGCAATGATAGCGCCTTTCGTTATTGCCAATAGCTGATTGTACGTTTTGATCTACCGGGGGACTCGATCAAAAGGTTTCCGTTTAAAAAATGCCTATTCCACTTGTATTCTAATGTATCTGTGTTATTTTTATATATTACATGTATGTTTCTTCTGTAATCATTTAAAATTCTCTTAAAGCGTCATTACTCAATCAACATATAACTGTTCTGCTCTCCGGTGCGCCGTACGTAACGTTATCAAACGTCGCCATTTTTCGTGTGTTGCGTTTACTACTTTCCCATTTCAAAGTCTTGGAAAACAGCCAAAAATTTAGCAAATTCCCTGATATTTTCTAAATGACGACATTATAAATAGTGAATTGAAAATATGATGATTTTTACCCAAACCCCTGATATTTAATATTTTTATTTTGAAATAATACTCGCATATTCCCTGACAAAGCTCTGATTTTTGGGTCGTGCACATTGAAGCATAATAAAATCCTTATTGCTGCCTACAATTTTTTTAAAAGAATTATAAATACTGAAATTTGATAAATAAACATTTGCTGAAAATTTCAGCCCCATGCGTGCATTATTTTTCGAGAAAAACGGGATGTCTACGATTTTTCCGGACAACCCTCGTAGTAAATGTATAAAACAAAAATAAAACAATATTATTTTACAAACGATGTATGCGTAAATACTTTGTATATGCAAACCGCACGGCCCAGTCTGACAAACAGCTAGTTTCATAATAACGTCAAAAATATGGATTTTGAATTTTTATCACATATTCGTGGACACACCCTATTTTTCTCTATTATGCCACAAAGCAAAGTGTGTGCAATAATATTTATATATAGACCATAACTGATTTTTTTTTTTTTTAATTCAGAACAATACAATAATTTACGAACGTCATCAGTATTTATAAATACTTCGAATGCACAGGCTGCACAGCTTAGTCCGATGTTGCGCTAAACTTATAACAACGTCCTGAAAAGTGATATGGGTGAATTAAAAAAAATGACCAAATGCATATTTATCGACCCACACTAAAAATACAGGCAATGAAAATAGATTTCTATGTCTCAACATATGTCTCTAGATAGTGTCTAATTGCCTGCCAAATATCTCGTTGATATCTCAATTAACAAAAAAGTTATGCCCAAAAATGATGCTAAAATTGTCAGGAGTGCAACACCTTTTTGTGACATTTTGAAATTTCAATATTTTTTGGAGATCTGTGAAATAAAAAATAATGCTTCATGTTGAAAATAAAGACTTTCCTGATAATATTCAAAGTATTGAGCTTTAAATGTGGACTGTTGAAACTTTTGTTTAATCAGGTTGTGGTCATGGCTGATGTTTAAAAAAATGTTATACCATGTCAGGAGTGCAACAGAAAAAATGTAGTGTTGCCAAAAAAACATCAATTGTAAAATTCTGATAGAAAATTAAGACAAAAAAGAATTTTGGAAGTGTAAAATAATAACTGATATACATTTTAAAACTTAAAAATGTTATATAAATCACAGGTAGCATTAATGAGAGTCAAGTATATGTGCATACCCAAAAATGTCAGGAGTGCAACATTTGATATTTTGCTCCCAAGCATGAAAAAACTACTATCATTATATGATTTTGTGATTTTTATTTTGGAAAATAAAGACACAAAGAACATTTTTACCAAATAGATTTATCAATTACAGGCTCTGTCTGTGCTTCAGATCCATATTTCTATGGTCAGGAGTGCAACACATTTTTTTAAAGATTCAAGTTGTGTGACGAAAAGACTTCTATTCATGCTTAGAAGTATTCATTAATTAGTAATGATCTTTTTGTATAATTAAATGCTAAATTATTGACAGTTTTATTATTAAAATCCTTCCTTTTTCAATTTTATCAATTCAGATGTGTTTTTATCTTTTTTGTGATTTTTTTAATGAACGTTAAAAATAAACATACTAAAACATTGTCATAAAATTCAAGTAATTCCTCCTCAACTTCACTGAAACAACAGAACTAGTTCTTATGTAATTTTCAATTCACAAGTCTACTTTAAAGGCCGCAATGCTTTTGGTCAGGAGTGCAACAAATATGTTAGAATTATAAATCATCCAATAAGAATAAAAATAAAGAAAAAATGATGAGCAGAATTTTTCTGGTGGGTTACTGTGTTTGTCTTCTAAAGGAAAATATGCTTTAAAATATATTTTATCTTCTAAATATACATTTAAGCTAGTTTTTTGACATAAAATAGGGTATAATTCCAGATAAAATGCAAATTTTAAATACTTTCATCTGTTTTAATTATGAAGTACTGGACTATAAGTATTGCACAATTTCATTACCACTTGATGTTGCCAACACTTTATGAATTTTTGTGTTCTATGGTTTTAATTTTAAACTGTACTGCAGTCAGGAGTGCAACAAAACTGCTTCATAATTACCGATGCTTTTTAACTATCTTTACTAAAAAATAAGTTGAAAAAAATGCTTGATACTATTTGATGTTCAAAACACTATGTCTATCAACAAATTGCAGAAATTTTACAGTCAATTCAGGGAATAGTTTTCATCATTTTACATATATTTTATATACAATTTATATATATTACACTTTGCAAATAATCATGTTTTAAGGTCTTCAAAATATGAAAAACCTGCTGTAAACAATGAAAAATATCAACACAACAAATTGATTTACAAAGTAAGAATGGGTTATTGTGTGTTATAATTTTTAAAACAATGTTAAATAAAATACACATCAAATGTCAGGAGTGCAACACAATAATGTAACATAGGGTCACTTCAAAATCTAGTATTTTTTGTAAGAGAACTCGTATATAACAATTTTTTTTTTGGCTTAGATTTAAAGAATTGACTTGAACGGACAAAAAAGTGAATTTTGGGGAATTTTATTGCTACATATTTTTTTTCACATTAAAACTTTTCAAACCAGAATTGAAAAAATAATGTAAAATAACAGTCAAAAAGCCAATTTTTTGTCACATGTACAAGAGAAGATACTCAGTCAAGGTCTAAATTTAATCATTTATACCCCTTTTACCATTTTGAAGCATAAAAAACTATAATTTCTTGTGATTATGTATTTTAAAAAGTCTTTTAAGGTGTAATGATATTTTCTTTTTTCAAAGGAAATTTTACTAATAAAAATTCTGAAACTTTTTAATCCAATTGTCTATTCTATTACCACTTCAGGATTTTAAACTAGAATGCATTTGCAATATGATGATATAAGTGAAAAATATGTCATAAGTAGTTGAATTTTGCCAAAAAAAATTCAGTTTGGTGGTCATTTTTTTTTAATTCACCCATATCCTACTTTCATCAAATGGCGGCGGTTTTCTAAATCTTGTAATTAATGTCTCCTAAATTGTACACACCCTTGAAAAATTCGAATATTCGAATTTAAAATTAATGAACTAAATATATTCCAATAATTACAATTGTTTGAATAATCATGTTGTCTCTGACGTCGTTTCAACCGTTATTATAACGCACTTTTATGATCGGACGCTGTTCCGTTCGGATGATCGACGTCGCGTATTCTGTCAATTTTTGAACCTATTTCTAACGGGTTTTTTACTAATATTTTCACTATCTGCCTAATAAGCAATGCTAAAAGATATCAAAGAAGACGGCAACCCCTTTATGTGCGACACTTTTAATTTTTATCAAGTTTTGACTTGTTTTATGAAGAAAATAACCATTTTAAACTTTATTTCAGAGTTAACGTCATTTTAACCCTGGGCAGTACACACTATCTGCAATCTTTAAAGACCGCAATCCTCACAAAAATATTAAGTTCAAACAATCAAAACCAAATTATTCTGACTTTGATTTCATAACAAATATTATGGCATACAATAAGTATATGTATGACCATTCAGTGTGACAAAAACGTCATTTTCCACGAACTTAATGGACAAACCGTATACATTGTATATGAATAATAGATAGATAAATAAATAAATAAATTCAATTAGTAAATTTATTGTAATTAAATTTATAGAATTATTAGATATACATCTAGGAGGAAATATGAATTTTTGAAATGGCAAGACAATTTGTAGCACGTACGTATTCACAAAAGCAAACAGAAATATTACTAGAATTGACCACATAAATAAATATGTATATTTCCTTTGAAAAAAAAGGTTAAACTCAAGCTCAAATATTCTTATTTCAATAACTGTAGAATTATGTTCCAATGAATCAATCAAAAAAAATCTTACGTGAACAAACCTCATCTTCACACTTGTTCTTGATCAGTTTGCACTCACTATCCGATTTCATGCACGTGCAGTTCTTAAGAGGGTCTTGACTCTGTTCAATTTTCTGAAAATTAATTTGGTTATATCTTTATTTCATGTCCGTTTCGTTTTTATTAAAAATAATCTTAAATTTG